TTCAGGAGAATTTCAGGGAGAAACTTTCCCAGTTAAAACTCAGAGTTCTGTGTTTTTATATCTAACATGCTAACTGGGGGTGGGAGGGAACAGTATGCATGCTGTTATAGGCCATTTGGAGCATTGTCCTGAAAGCAGGTCAGCGGCTCGGCACTCACCCACAGAAACAACACGGCGCCCATATTTCCATCAGGCCTGAGTGGTTCAAGGCACTCCTTAAATATTTCAGATCTTTTCTTTGCAGCAGCTCTGGATCAAGGTGTTTAACCTCAGCAGGTTTCCTCCTACAGATGTTTGGTTGAACAAAATGAACAAAGATCTCCTCCATTTGCCTTTCAGCATCTTTCAATCTGAATCCCTCTTCCTCCCATCATCATGTGCCTGCAGAATGCTCAGAGCCTCCCAGGCGTCCCGAAGCAGCAGGCAGGAACTAAACTGGGACATACAACTTCTTCCTTGGATGATTGATCACGTCACAAACCGGCAAAGTAAACCGGCGCAAAACTGCAGGAGAAGACAAACTCTCATAAAAGATTCAGAGCCCAGCAGGCAGCGCTTTGCACTCCAACAGGAAGCTTTCTGGGTCTGACTCACGCTGCCTCTGTCACACAAGGCCTCCTTATCCACTTTGACTGTTTCTGAGTTTGCTGGGAATAAAACAAAATATTTAAAGTAGATCATGAAGATTTTTGGAAAACTCAGCTGCAGCCATTGCTGTCATTTGTTTTCCCTTCATCAGAAGGTACGCCTGACCCAACGTGTTTAACTGTGTCTTTCCTAAACTAGCTCTGCCATTAAACTAACTCTTTGCACCGTGTTTCACTCCCAGATGAAAAGTACTCCTGGCCGACAGCTCTGGTTTTAAACTGTGGCTAACTTTGTTTACCCTCTTTGTCTTTCTTTTAAATGGAAAGTACACCAGGTTCAGTACATGTACTTCTTTTTCTTTTTTCAGAACAAATTCCTTAAAGCTACAGTGTGTAATAATTACAGGGATATACAGTCAGAAATGTAATATATTATACATAACTATGTTATTTATCATCATCTACGAGCTCAGCCTCTTAACCTTAATATTTGCGTTGCCTTAGAATTCGTTATTTATAATTACATAGGAGCGGGTCTCGCAGCCATGGAGGCAGACATCTTTGCGCTACGGCAGCGCAGAGCCAACAAACTAGCGATTGCGAGATCGCCAAAACGTCACAACGATGTAGAAAAAATAACGGGTATATTTATTATCTTAAGTCTACATGAAATCTATACCCTACACAGACTAATGAAATACTATCTGTAAAATTATCTATGTAAACAAACCTCATCACTTGAGAAGGTAGGTGATGCGGACGTAGTGGAAGACATTTTGTCCCGTAACGCTCGCCATACTGTTGGGGGGGAGAAGCGGTGGGGGGAGATGTTCATGTTGCTGCAGTCTGGAGTCTGACCGCTAGATGTCGCTAAAAGTTACACCCTGTAGCTTTGTGTAGCTAATTCCTTAAAATATCAATGCCATTCCTTCTATAGAAAGTATGCCTGGTCCAGTTTGTCTATTCTGGCTGTTTTCTCATAACCTGACTCCGCCAGATGGATTTGCTCCGCATATCCATCTGGAAACCTTCCGTTGAAGTAATTTTGGGAAGGGGCGAAAATACTGGTTAGCTGATTGGCCTATGTTGGTGATAGACGGGCCAAATAAACCAATCAGATCGACGAAGCATATGACGTACTAACAGCTAGGCTACTCTTGCCCAAACCAGTCTGGAGAAGAGCAAAAACATCTTTTCCTCTGAGAAAAGCCTCCAGAGCAGTGTTTTGCTCTTCTTTCAGTGAAGAAATACTCTGTAATTCCGATAAAACTTGCTCCATAGCCACGCTAACGCTAGTTTCATCGGCTGAAGCCGCCATGTTCTTTAGACTGAACTGTCGCTCTTCTCGTTGCGTCACACCTCAACCCGCCTCAAAGCCAACGCTGATTGGACGTTCGTTTGGTGAACGGCTCCAAATATTCTTTAACGGAGAGTCTCCAGACTGATCTGCGAGTGAAACCTTGAAAGCTGGCGAGATCAGGATGGTCTCACGAGGCTACTTTTCTCAGGCCTGGGTGAATCATTTTAATCATCCCTTACTCTGCTTACTATTTTTTGTTTGTCTCTTTTTAAAAGGCTGCTTGGTTTCTATAATCTGTAGAAACTGAAACCATTCTGGCAGAAATATTTCAGGCAGTCCTGGTGATTTCCTAAAACAGTTTGCTTTTGTTTCGCTTTCAGTCGTGTGTGAGTTCACACATCTCTGGGTGCAAAAAGGGATAGAAAAGAAGGGCGAGGTTGTGTGTTTGCTGGAGCACCGGCAGCTAAAAGCCTCTCCAGGAGGTTTTTTTTGGAGGGCGTGCATCACTTTCAGGTTTTATACTTGATATTTTTTTTTACAAACAAACAAAAGCTCTGAGGTCTTTGTGTTTTAAGGATCATTAATTTATTCCCAGCTGTCGGGTCTGTATGTGTTGCAGCTGTTAGAAGATAATAATACAGAAATCACGACAGTGCGCGGACTAATGATGCTCAGGGAGACACATCAGTGCCTGTAAAGGAACAGCAGGTCAGAAAGAAGAGGCAGGATCTGCATTTAGTCCTTATCATACATAAAAGTGACATCAGATGTTAGAAGTTAGAACCTGGCCACATAAAGGTACAATCACAAAAGTATAAAGTAGTAATCTACATCCCCCGATCAAGCTGTTCCACTCCCAGTCTGTGGTGTTGCACATGAATTTTCTTTAACATCAAAGCAAAAACAAACCATTTAATCATTGTTTTTGGGGTTTTTTTTGTCGTTTAAAGGCGGTTAGCAAAAAACATCCATGTGCATCTCTGCCACCAACTGCTAAGGAGTGTAACAACTTTAACCGGAGCTGTAGATTCATAGCCTCGTGAGACCATCCTGATCTCGCCAGCTTTCAAGGTTTCACTGGCAGATCGGTCTGGAGACTCTCCGTTGAAGAAAATTTGGAGCCGTTCACCAAACGAACGTCCAATCAGCGTTGGCTTTGAGGCGGGTTGAGGTGTGACGCAACGAGAAGCGCGACAGTTCAGTCTAAAGAACATGGCGGCTTCAGCCGATGAAACTAGCGTTAGCGTGGCTATCGAGCAAATTTTATCGGAATTACAGAGTATTTCTTCACTGAAAGAAGAGCAAAACACTGCTCTGGAGGCTTTTCTCAGAGGAAAAGATGTTTTTGCTCTTCTCCCAACTGGTTTCGGCAAGAGTTTGATCTATCAATTGGCTCCTCTTCGTCGTCGCTCTGTTAGTACGTCATATGCTTGGTTGATCTGATTGGTTTATTTGGCCCGTCTATCACCAACATAGGCCAATCAGCTAACCAGTATTTTCGCCCCTTCCCAAAATTACTTCAACGGAAGGTTTCCAGATGGATATGAGGAGCAAATCCATCTGGCGGAGTCAGGTTAGTAGATTCATCCTCGGAATCGGAAACCTGGGATTCCTAAATGTAGGATCCGTTCTGTAAAAAGTGAAATTAGTTCGCAGAATATTTTTATTTTTTTATCTCCATTTAATTGTGAAAGTTTTATATTGGGCTGCAACTATCGATTATTTTGCTCGTCTATAAATCTTGATTTTTTTTCTGAATAAATCGGACGGCAAGAAGAGTTTTTACTGAATTTTTTTTTTATTCCAGCTTTTTATTGTCATTACACTGTCACAAATACAGAGCAATGAAATTCACTCTCTGCATTTAACCCATCCCCTTGGGGAGCAGTGGGCTGCCATTGTGTGGTGCCAAGGGTCTTGCTCAGGGACCCAGAGTGGCAGTCTGTGGGAGTGGGGCTTGAACTCAGAACCTCAGGATTCCACGCTTTTTGCCCTAACCAATAGGCCAGCACTACCCTGAATTTAAACCAAATGAAACGAAAAATTTCCACTTGAGGAGTACTGGATTGAGCAGATTGACAGACAAAAATTTGTATTTATTTTTTTATATTAAATCCTTAATATTTATTTCTATATATATTTACAATTTTGGTATAATAACTGGTCTAAGTTGTTTTCTGCATCGGGTCTCTACACTCCTGTTAAAGATTATTTGATTACTAAATTAGGTGCCGATTATTTTAATTAAAGATTAAAGCTACAGTGTGTAATAATTACAGGGATATACAGTCAGAAATGTAATATATTATACATAACTGTGTTATTTTTCATCATCTACGAGCTCAGCCTCTTAACCTTAATATTTGCGTTGCCTTAGAATTCGTTATTTATAATTACATAGGAGCGGGTCTCGCAGCCATGGAGGCAGACATCTTTGCGCTACGGCAGCGCAGAGCCAACAAACTAGCGATTGCGAGATCGCCCATTACGCTCCAAAGTAACTACGGCAAGTTGAGAGAGATGAACTGAGACGGTACTGAAATCTATACCCTACACAGACTAATGAAATACTATCTGGGGGGGAGAAGCGGTGGGGGGGAGATGTTCATGTTGCTGCAGTCTGCAGTCTGAACAATAGATGTCGCTGAAAATTACACACTGTAGCTTTAATCACGATTAATTCGGTTGTTTTAGGTCTAGTTTGATGTTTGATCTTCTGGAATCTGAAAACTTACGATTCAGTCTTGGAAATTTGTGATTCGCACTCCTAAGTTTGTGCTTTGTACTATTACGTTTGTGTTTTGCTCCCCTAAAGTTGCGATTTGCACTCGCAAAATTTGTGATTTTCCCCTTGTAAAGTAATAAAGTTGTAACTGAGATTTATTTCTCATAAACTAGGATTCTCCCAGATGAAACATCTGAAATCGAATTAACCTTTAAACCAGAGAGAAGATTAAAAACTGTCAAAGTTCTTCTTATTTTAGTCACTTTTACCAAGATTTTGTTCCTTACGGTTTGTTGGAGAAGCTGTAGGGGATTCATCTGGAGTCAGGAGCTGTGCTGACCCCTGGTGGCCAGGGAAGGAACAACAGGTCTTAAAAACAGCATACGAGTGTGATTGCACAAAAACGTTTATTTTCAGCATCTCAGAGAACATTTCAACACATCGCTCAGAGACAAAACTGCATTTTTTCCTTCTTAAAAAAAAAGTCTGACTGACGACAAAGAGCTTCAACGAAGAAAAGTAGCTAAATAATTGGAATAACACGGACGAGCACGGTGAGGAGAGTTTGGTTTCCAACGTTAACAAGCAGACAAAGTGGAATAGAAAAAAAAACATCTGAAATCACAACTTAACACAGAGAAATGCTTCTTTTGTGCTCCTTTTATTGTGAAACTCTCGACTAATCAAGCCTCAGCTCGCCCTCATGGGACCATATTAGCTTCTGCTAAAGTGACAAACTCCCCAAAACATAAACGCAAAACAACAGAACGGTACTTCTACATCATAAAATGCTTTTTTTTCCCTCCATTAGGAGTTCCTTCAGTGCTGGGGAGAGTTTGTAAGCCCAGTGACATTAAACACCTCTGCAAACATTGAACACAAACATACACAACCATTCAGTTTAAGGTTCTTTAAAAATGACTCTATAATTTGTCTTCATACGGCATTTGCTCTCATAAGTGCTCTTAAATAATTCGTCTCGTAAGAAAATCACAGAAGTATAAAAACAAAGGAGGCAAATCTGTAAATGCATTTTATTGATTGTCTTCTTCTTAAATGAAACATCTGTGTTTGAGAACATTCAACACCAAATCCTAACATTTCCCATTTGGTTTCTGAGTTGGAGCTAAATGCTAAACGCAGCTATCAGGCCAGAAACATGGCGGCCGCGTTCGCGTCTCTGCGGCTACCCTGTAGCAGCGTTTATGGTCTGTCACAGTGGGATGAAGGAAACATGGCAGCAGCTCTAAAGGTTAGGCTGTTCACACCTGCTGCTGTCGTCCATTTAATGGAAACTGGATCAGTTAAAGTCGGAACATCATTTTGGAACGCCAGCTGACATATCTGGACTCAAAGACAAATGGTTCAAATGCAAAAGTCTAAAAAAAGACCCGGAATACCTCCCTCCTATTAAAAGAATGTACATGTTTAAGAGCAAACTGTGAAGTACGGTGGTGGCAGCATGATGCTGTGGGAGTGTCATAGAGAGGAAATCATTAGGATGCATGGAAACGACTCCACGACCATTTAAACTAAAATTATAGCCTGAAAGGAGAGCGTGTGACACTTGAAGCAACCAGTTTAAACTGGTTCCAAGATGCTTTTTAGGTTCTTATACATTTTAAAAGCAGGATAGTAAATCTTCCTCCCTCATTAAAACACTTTAATACTTTAGATCTGCTTTCAGGATTGTTTTACTGCAGTTGGAGTGAAGAAAGCAAAAATATTTCTAGGGAAATATCTTGGTCCATCTCTGGTTTGTTAATGATGAGGAGAAGCTGCTCAGAGCTGGAATCCATTAAATCTCAGAACCGACCCAGTAGTGAGGAGATCACCAGGTGTGAACAGCCTCCTTGTTGCATATAAAGTGTCTGATTCCTTCCCAGGAACCTGGATTGAAAAGGTCAACCGACAGAGAGTCCTGACTTATAGGAAGAGATCTGCTGCTGTTTGAGACCTGCTAATAAGCTAGCACCACAACCTAAAACTTCTTTATTTAACAGTCAGTCGTGGTTAAAAGAACTAAAACCAGTTTGAATTGTAGAGTTTTATGTTAAATGATTTCAGCTTCCTGTCTGTTTCTAAAATGATGAAACCTCGACTACAGAAAAACCCCAAGAACAAAACTATTGTTTCCAGAGATTTAGAGAAGAAAGTAGCACTTAAGGTCCGAACATACTGGTTTCATCCAACTTTTTAGTCTCTGATCCGACTTTTTCCCACGTCACACTGACTGATATACAGAGCGGCTCCAACTAGGCAGAATAAGCAGATCTGTGCTGATTATTTTCACTTCTGTCTCTTTGTTGAACACAGATTAAAACATTTGACTTGGATTATGAAAAGCTATTAAAATGAATAATAAAACAAAACAGCAGCGCAGCTGTAAAGCAAAGCCCCACTTAATAGGACTGAACAGCATCTTAAACCAGGACAGATCCTTTTTATTAAAAACATGAGATCCTCATTGAAAGAAAGGGAAAACGCAGCAGTAAAGCCTGCTGGACGGTTTATTATTAGTAGGAGGTGATTGTCAGAGAAAGATCTGTCAAGTTTATCGACGGTTTTGTTTTTCTTTCTTTTCATAAATAGGGGAGAGAGACGAGCTTCTATTACCTGCTCTGTCTGCCCCTCGTTATTTTGTTTTTTTGCAAGGCTCAAACAGGATCACCACTTTATTGTTTTTCTGTCTTCCTGAATTGCTGTCATGGGTAAAGTTTTCTATTTTGATTGTTTTTGCAGGAGTCTGCAAAAAACTCCACGACCTACTCCAACACGATTTTCCTTCAGATCAGACGCATTTGGTGTGTTCAGGCTTAATGATTAGATGCAGCAGTATTCATCATAATAGTGTCCGCCCCTATGAAAGATTTCTGTCTTGAGGAATACCATGCCAAGGCAGAAGGAACAAGAATCTCTAAAGGGCAGATTAGACTTCTGCAAACGCACACATCAAATGCCGCTTGGGTCTGGTCGCGAACCAGCTTTGCTGGTTTGCTTCTGCTCCGTCGGTCTGGAATTTCTAGGGATGCACAGCAGTTTCCAAACCACAAGGGGGAGCCTATTCGAGAACTCAAGAGAACTTCAGCGGATGCTCACAAGAACTTTGGCAGTGCCAGCGGGAGTGTTTATCTTTCAAACAACCATCGCGTGTCTGCAAGTCACGATCATGGAGATGGATCTAGAGTTGCTAGACATTGAAGAGGAACAGGTTCTATTAATGGAGTTGGTAAATAGACCTATTAACCTTTTCATCGTAGTTCTCCATTGTAGTCGTTCCTTGGTTTTTAAAAATGGCGCCCTGGAACCGAATCGAGAAGGACGACCATAAAGACAGCCGGAAAGGCATACCAAGGACCAATCACAGCTGCTTGAGGTCTGCACGGGTTTACGACCGTCCAACGCATAGTCAGGATTTTTTTAGGTCCATGACGGCGGTTGCAGAACCTCTGCGTGGTCGCACACAGAGACAAATTTGACGTTTGCAGAGGCTATGCGTCAGAAGCAGAAATTGTCCTTAAGAACAACATAGCAGCATGAAGTAGGCTAGCTTATCTGAGGAAACCACAGGAAACCAAAGAAGAGATGTTTGGTAACAATGCAGAGCACAGCTGGCATTTAGAACACTAATAAAGCATGGCGGTGGAGGAGTGATGGTCAGGACCTGAACTCCTCTGTTTACTGAAGTGTCCTACAGCTAAAAGTGAAGTGGAACAACAGACACAAAAGCAGCTGCTGATCTACAGAACCGCTGAAACATAAATGAGGTCGTACCAAAGTGAAGGACTCCCCTTAAAGAATGCCATGCAGCAAATCAATGTCTAAAAACCTCAGTGAAATCCAACGCACCCTAAAGTTAAGTTACTTTTAACCACGACTGAATCGAACCGGGAGATACTATTTTTTTTTTGTGTGTGTGTGATATCTGATATAGATTTAAAATGAAAACTAAACAGCTAGGTCCTATCTTCTGCTGAGGGTTTGAATACGTTTGGTTTTTCCCATTCGGCAGAGTTTGTTTCCTGGACAAGGCATCAACCGGAGCTTCTACGACCATCTCGGCTCAGGAAACGTTAAAAATGCTTTTGAACTTTTCTGGAACAAACCGGGTCGTCTCTGACCGAGTCTCTTACCAGAAAACCAGGATGAACCTCAAAATGCAGCATCAGCGTTTCTACGCTCCTGTTCTTCTGTTTTAAGAACTTCCAGAAGAAGAAGAAGTTTATTTTTATAGATTTCTCTGTGTGCATTTAAAGCCCCCAATACTCTTGATCGTTTTTCCGAACAAAAAGAAACGGCGGTGAGCATAAAATCACTTTGAATAAAACATTTAGATACTGCAGATTGTTTTAAAATCTCCAACTGGGGTTGGTTTTCCTTAAATATCTTCTGCTAAACGACAAAGATGCTCCACCTGATCTCCTGTCCCCGTTTGCTCCATGTGACCACATTAAACTCTCCACTAAAGCTTCTTGTTTAGTAGATTTAAATGAGTCTAAGCCCTGCAGATTATCCCAGGCTGCGGGGATATTAAACCAACATCTGTTTGCATAAGAGGACCTTAATCTTAAAAGGTGGACCAAAAGCAGCAGCGATGAGGACGGAGAACCTTCTCAGACTTGTTCCAGGTAGCATGAAGACGCTTTGAACCGTTTCAGGAAGAGGCGTCCTCTTGGACGTTTTTCTTCACCACAGCAGTGAACAGAGAATGTCTTTTAAAGAGGATCAGATCCTCATCGTTCCATGTAAAAAAAACAAATAAAGCAGGTCCGTCTGCCCCACCTCTGCTCTGTGTCGTCCAATCAGAGGAAGAAACCAGATTTCTGGGGGTCTGGTAGGTTGGAGACTCCGTCGGTACACGACACGGCGATGTCGCACGCCTCCACGCCGTTTCTTCCAGGAATTAGACACGTCCTGATGTACCCTCCGTTGGCAGAGCTGAGGAGGCATCCGTTCTCCACCTGGAAACAAACACAGACGTTCAGAAAGATTTATACCTTTCCTTCAAACCCCTCCAGGCCGACCAAAAATTGATGAAAATCAGCCTTTTTCTATTGGTTTTTGACAAAAACGAATGAGACTAAGTGTTTTTACATTGTCATAAATATTGTTCAGAATGACTCACATACGCCAAAGTCGGCGCAATTAAAGTCGAGGGATGGCGGGCGCTCACAGCGAAGCAATTTTTTGAATAACTTAAATCCACAGAGATTTAAAAACAAATTGGATGATCCGAGACGATAACGGACACAACAACTAACAAGAAAAACTTGGTTGTATCTGCCAGGGTTGGAACATTCTTCCAGATGATGGTTTTTTCCAGGATTTTTCCATGGTTCCTGGAAGAAACAGTTTCTTCCAGTTTATTCCGGAAGAAACTTGAAAAGTCAAATTGACTGGAAAGTTTAGGTTCTTTTGGTGAATATTTTGACTTCATCAGCCCCAAATCCAGTAATAACATTGAGGTGGGATTCAATGTCTATAAACCAGGGAGGAAAGCATAGCAGAAGAAATGAAAGAAGAAGAAAAAGCCACCTGGTGGAATCTGAGTTTGGCTACAACTAACAATTACTTTGCATATTGATTAATCTGTCAATTATTATTTCAATTAATAATCGTATAGCCAAAGATTCCTTACAGAGGACTTTTTACTAAATCAAACCAGATGTAACTAAAACGTATCCACTTGATGAGTGGATGGATAGTATGGAAGAGGATTAGGGCCACTGAGAAAATAAAAAAGTGAACTGATTTTTAAATATTATTTCAGTTTAATATGCGAAAAAAAGTCAGAATTCTGACTTTAATCTCAGAATTGTGGATCTTAATGTAGATGGGCACCATTAGGGAAGAGATGCGGAGCACTCAGCTTCACTGACAAAGATGTGAGTTGTTTGGGAGGAACAGGAACACATTGGTGGAAAATGACGGAATAAGGCGACTTTTTCATTAATGGAAGAGCAGAAGGTGATTAAAGCAAGAGAGCAAGCTTAGTCTCTAAAACAGACATGGCTACGGCTTGATGCTAACATGTTTGTTAGCTGTCAGAATTCAGAGTGAGTCAGAATACTGAAAAAAAAACGTCTGAATTCTGAGAAAAAAAATCAGAATTTTAAAATTAAAGTCAGATTTCTGATATCAAAGTCAAAATTCAGAGAAAAAAACTCAGAATTCTGACTTTTTGTCTCAAATTATACTGAAACAAAATAAAAAAATCAGTTAACTTTAAAAAAAAAATGTCAGTGGCCCTAATCCTCTTCCGTAGGATAAAGCATATTGCAGATGAAAACATTTTTTTTTATCTTAAATGCAAAATGTTTACTTTTTTAAATTTTTTTTTACAATTTTGATATAATTACAGCTCTAAGTGGGTCGCTCAGTCAGCTAAAGTTGTGTTTTAGAGTCCCTATACTCTAGTTAACAATAAATCGATTACTAAATTAACTGACAATTATTTCAATAATTGATTAATCACGATTAATCTGATTAATTGTTTCAGCCCTAAATGTATGCATGAAAACCTTTTCTCACAATTTAAAGGCTATTAGTAAATTCTTTCACATATTCATTCATCTAGATTTGTATTATATATACTTAATATACACCAATATAAAAATTATATAAATTCTTAATTTTTGTCACTGTATTCTGATAAAGATTTCTCCTCATGTAGCCTGGTGGATATAGCGTGATGACTTTTCTATGGAACTATTTCTCCTAAATATGATCTATTACCAGGACTTTCTTCCAGTTTCTTCCACTTGTCAGGAAGAAACAGATTTCTCATCCCTGGTATCGGCTGCTGGGCCTTGCAAGGCCCCAAGAGATCCTAAAGCATCTAGACATTTAGGGACAACTTTAGCTGCCTTCCTCATGGCAGTTGCACACCAGTTTGGTGCAATAAAAGTTCAGACTTTTGTTAATTCATCTGTTTTCCATCTATTCCTGTAGATAAAGCTTTAAAACCAGTGTCCTGCTCCGTGTGTACTGTATGCATCTCCCTGCAGAGACAGTTTCAGTGCTGTGAGCCGTGTTTCCATGCACCCCCCCATCCTGTGTTTGCAGCATTAGGTAATGATGACAGATAAATTGTAGGTCAGCGGCGCTCATGCCTGACTGGCCCGCATGCCAGTATTTTTCTTTCAGCGACAGCCACTGACCCTGAAGAATAACAGAAAAGGCTGAATGCAGCGGGGAGGAGGAGATGCCTGCTGGGCCCGGCCGCCTCTCTGGGCTCATCCCGGCCTCACTCTATTCATTATTGTACTCGCTTTCTCTGCCGCTTCGCTGTCCCGTTCTCGCTCATGATTCATTCCATCTTTACCCAGATCTGGCAGTTTGTTTGTTCTGCTCAAACGCTGCTGTCATGCACGGAGAGACCACACCGGCGATGAGAGAACAGGAAGGCCAGGCTGATCCAGGACAGTTAGTAAAACTAAAAATGATGAATTTCTTTAAATAACACCAGATTCCTGTCTGTGTTTCTGCAGGTTGAGCACCAAGCTGTGATTGAGGAGAAGCGTAAATCATAGTTTTTTTTTTTATTATTATAAAACAAATGCTAAATAGATCACCGATCCAAACTCTGGATCCTTTGAGGCTAAAAACTGCAATCAAAGTCTGTTTATGGACCCAAAGATTACTTTAACAAACACATGAAGGCAATTTCTAAATCCATGTAGTAAAATCATGAGACACTGTTTAAATTGGCTCATATCTCACTTTGCAAAGTGGGGCAACTTAACTGCTCATTTTGTGATGATTAATCTAAGCAACTATGGGCCGGATTTATCAAGATCCAATTTGCGTGCAGTAATTTGCGCTCGCAAACTGGAATTTTGCGCGAGGGGCTGAACCATGGTTTGTGGGTGATTTAACAAGAGCGATTGCGTAACTGGTGGCAGGTGCAAAACTGTTGGAGACGCCCCATTTAAATGATGGTTTTGCGCGTTTGGTGGTTTGCGGCAAAGTAGTTTGTTGTTTGTGCAAACTAGTGCATTAAGAAATTTTTATCTTACAGTGACACCCCCTCCAAAAAAAAAAAAAAAATTATATATATATATATATATATATATATATATATATATATATATATATATATATATATATATATACACGTTGGCAACCTTTATTCCCTAAGGTGGTATGTGGCTGAATTTCTACTTCACTGCAGTACAGTAAAAAAAAAAAAAAAACAAAAAAAACTGGTGTTTTGTATTGGCCTGTAGAAAAATGCACATACCAAATGGCTCACAAGAAGTGACTGTGGATGAGATGACTGTGCATATGCATCCCCGCAGCATTGGCATGTTGCTCCACAGGTGCAGAAGGGAGGCCGGGTTCTCCGTTAGGGCGTCCTGTCCGACATTTAAAACGTTGGACAGCACTTCTGAAAACGAGATTGGGAAATCCCAGATGCAAAAAAGTCCAATGTTGCAAGGAGTTTTGTGATATCTGGTATTGCGTGGGTCCTCCTTGTGGCTGGCTCCAAATCCATTCGGAGTTCCTCCAACAGCTCCAAAATGGCAATGCTGGATAAACGATATGTTTTGATGATCGTTTCTTCGTTCATTCCATAAATATTCACACGGAGTGAAAAATGCGTTCTCTGCGTCTCCTTACTTCATTTCCATGTCTCTTTCTTGCGGCAATAACCGCTGCCATGTGTGCGCAATTACGCATACAGACCATTTGCACCTTCTTTTGAAACGTGCAAATATAGAGTCAGATACCGTTAGCAAAATTGCTTTCAGTTTTGATAAATCACTTTGCGAGTGCTAAATTAATATATTTACATGTTCTCCTCCCACAAGACGCACTTTTGCGTGTAAACGCCCCATATTGAAGATTCATTGCAGAAAAAGTACTAAATGGATAAGAGGCGCTATTTAGCACGTTTTAAAGACCAAATCCTTTTAGCACGCTGTTGATAGATCAGTTTGTACATTTTTTAGCGTGCGCAGTGAAATAGCTCACGTTTTTATACACGCAAACCTTTGATAGATCCGGCCCTATGTATCAAACATGAAGTCCCACCAGGAGTTATTCTTTAGCAACTTTTATTCAACATCTTCATTTTTCCCCTAATTAATGTTTAACTATTTCTCAGCATAAAGCTAGGCGGCTGGAAGTACAAACAGGAAGTACGGTTTCGTATCGGTTTTTGGGGAGTGGTTAGGGCACCTAGTGGAATCCTGAGGTTATGAGTTCGAGCCCCACTCACACAGACACCTTTAAGGCTGATTTATACTTGGAAACCAGGTTGTCTGCATAAGGCAGTGAACGCAGAGACGTCCATGCCTCTTCTGCAGACACTCTTGTGCACCTCTCCAAAATTGCAGGTGACCGCAGACAGTGCTGCAGACAGGAGGCCTCTTATTGGTCAAATCTACATCTACTCTAGGTACCAAGTACCTTACCGGCTACAGAAGCTGTTCATATGACCAGATGGACCAGATAGAAGAGCGAGGTGCGCAAGAACACTGGGACCCTTTTCCCACCTGGATCCCCGCTCTTTTCCTCATGTCCCTCCATTGTCGATACCCTAACCTCCTCGAACCCACAGCTAGCCCGATTGCGTTGTGGTGTGGAATAAGATTCAACATAAATCAAAAAAATCTGCATCATACCTGCGACACCCTGCTGTGGGAATATAACCAGCCCTTAAACCCCACACTGCTCCCCAGGCCCTGCACAATGGCACAATGGCAGCCCAAGGCTCCAAGGGCATAGATTAAATGCAGAGACTTATTTTGTTGCTCTGTACTTGGGACAGCGTAATGACAATAAAAACACTGGGTAAAAAAAAAAGAAGATAAAATTCACTGATATCACACGTGAAATATACGCTGATTACTCTTGACTTTTCAGTGTTAAACAGTCTTTAATATTCACTAAACTGAATCAATACCACAGAAACCAAAGGGAAACGCGGCTCACAGCTAAATCTGTATCTATATATCAATGAATGCTGCACATATTTCTATTATCAGTAGATGTAGAAGGTCTGTGTTAGAGATATGTCTGTTATACTCTTACTCTTTTTGTATTTCTTGGGTTGTGTACCAATGAACTATTATGATGTATAATGTGTGACATATTACTGTTCCAGAGAGGTGTTGCATAAAAAGTATAGGTCAACTCTCAGGAAAATGGCTCAAGCTTAACGAAACCAGGAGGTTCTCGGATCATTTGACCGCAGGACATTTAAATGCAAATTGACCTGTTCACTGAGGCTGCAAATGGAATTGTATTTCTTGTTTCCTATTGCTTTAGCGCAACCTCAGCTTGTGTAACTAGGGACCCCCCCTCTGACTTTAATAAATAGCAAGGAGAAAGCTGAAGACTCTCCTCGCGAGTAAAAATAATTCTGACTCTGTGCGTTTCTTTCCTTGTTTTAAAGTGTTTCAGGTGTTAGAGCTGACAGTCTGAGACTAAATGAATCAGGAAAAATATTGCTGGATTCCTGACCAACTCCAGGAAATCATCCCAGCAACCATTCAACTGGAACCTTTTCTGAGACGTTTCTCGTTTACAGCAGCATTTCAGTAACTGTCAGCCACCGTGTGCAGGATCGGGGCTAAACCTTCCTGCCCGGTGATCCAGGAATCCTGCAGCGCAGCACTGGAGCCAATCAGGACAGTCCGAGCAGAAGTCAGGATTATTCACAGAATGAACATAATGTGATTCCACTCAGCAGTCAGTCAGCAGCATAAAGCCAAGCAGAGCTTCGTCTAGGATGTGAAATCTCTGGATGTAAAGTGACTGAGCGTCTCTCCCTCATCGTATTTACATGACATGTCCTCTTTCATCATGGCGGTTAACTCTGAGCTCCCCGCCGGCCCCAGGCCGCCACAGCCGACTCAGAAATCAAATAATCTATTTTCCCAACAGGGAAATGGAGCAGCGCAGAGCTGCAGATCTTTTTGATATTTGGTTGGATTTCCATTCTATTGAGATATCAGACTTTGAAAGTTTAAATTCACCAAACTGAACTCTACAACTAAAATGTGAGTTATTTTTAATCTAATAAAATAAACTGGGAATGTAGAGTTAATCCCTGACCTAACAGGAAGCCAAACATCCCATCATGTTAGCGTCGCCTCCTGACCTCTCACCTTTCCGTCGGCTGCAGGGCTGAACATGCTGCAGCTGAGCGCCGGCAGAGAGACGAGCTGCGGCGTTTCATGCACCCCACAGTTCGCCGACGCCTGTCTCTGCGGACCCAGATGTGCTGGCTGCAGCGCCGTGGTGACAACGCCCAGACGCTGACAGATTTCCGCCGCCGTGCCGCCGTTCAGCAGACCGGTGCAGCCGTCCAAAGGGTTGGAGATGCTGTAATCTGGGAGGAAAGCTGAGCTCTGCTTTGGGATGTGAGATCCGTTCTGGAAACCCGGTGAAGCTGTGCTCTCCGTGTTTATCTGCAGCTGCCAGGGGGACTCCAGATGTGGGTCTAGATGCTCAGCGTCCAGCTGTGGATCTATGACCTGGGTCTGATGATGGTTCTCCACCCAGAGACTGTCGGATAAACTGATTGGATTGTCGGCTTGCACCACAGCAGGATGTAAGGGTGACTGGAGATGCTGCTGCATCTGCTGGGACAGCTGGACGATGGGCTGCCTGAAGGCGCTCTGGTCCAGAGGGGGAGCAGGTGCCAAGATCGGCTGCAGGGCGGCAGAGTCCGCAGCCTGGCCACCGCTCCCTGGCTCACCCTGCAGAGTGTCCTGGACGTATGTGAGGATCTCGTTGTTGGTGAGAAGGTCGCTCAGAGAGGGAACGTGACTGGGATCCAGCTCCACCTGCATCATCCGCTCGTCCAGCAGCAGCAGCTCCAGGTCGTCGGCGTTGAGGCCCAGACTCTCCAGAGCGGTGAAGAGCTCGCTGTTGGAGCAAGCGTCGTCTCCGTCCAGGGACAGAGAGTCCAACGTCGACAGAAGAGGGTCGAAGCCGTCCCCGTTGCACGTCCCAAGCTGCCGGTTGGAGACGAGGTTCCAGCTGCCGCTGCTCAACAAGGCGTCCGACTCACCGGGACCGCCGCCGTGGAAGAACGTCCGAGGCTCCGCATCCGGCTGGCAGACGTACACGGACTCATCCTGACTCATCAGCGCCCCCAGCAGAGAGTTAGGGTTGAGTTCATCTGAGGAGCTCTTGTCCATTTTGCCCTTCTTGGACTTGCTGCCTCTGGCTTTACCGTGGGACGGATCGGGGAAGCCGTGCAGCGGGTGGCTGGTTTGGTACAGGAGAGCCTCTCCGGTGGCAAAGGTGAAGGGGAGGTGCATAGATCTCTTTCTCAGGTGTTCTCCTCCTTCCTCCTCCCTGCAGATGAACAAACAAAGACATCAGTGAAGGAAAACCCTGAAGAAAAGTGGGAGGATAAGAGAGAAGCACTGACGCCAAAGGCCTCTGGGTGGCGATGATGTAGTCCGGCTTCCCGTTCTTGTAAACCAGCCGGGCGTTGGCCTGGACCCACTTCCATCGGTTGTCTTTGGTGAGCAGCCGGAAGACGGTCAGGCCACTTTCACCAGTCTTTATCACTGAAACCACAGCGGAGAAGATGTTGAAGCATCTCTATTTGGGACTCAAGCGATGTTAGACCAACAATCATCAAAGCTTCTGTCACAGGATGAAAATAACAGCAGAGAAAAAGTCCTTTTTCTTTCTGTCAGAGAATAAAATCCTCATCCTGTGCATCAAACTGTCCTGATCCATTTAAAAGCCTAATTTTATGCTGCATTTCCCTCTATTTAACAGAATCTTTAACAGCATCCTTCTTCGTTCTGCCGGGTCTGCATCCATGCATTTATCCAAACACTAGTGAAGAGACGCAGCAGGGGCTCCATCAGTTCAAAGCCTGCATTACAGCCTGCACCACCAGCAGCAGATGTCACAGTAATGAGAAGAGCAGAGGTCTGACCTCAGCCGCAGTGACAGCTGGGTCACAGGGGTCCACAGCGGGTGGAGAACCGGCTCGGCTTCACTGCCGCAGACTCAAAACCAGTCCTTCCTAAAACGCCAGTGTTGGCATCGGAATTAAGATTTTTTTTTTTTATAATCGACTGAATTATTTTCTTAGAAAGGTTTGATGCTGCTGCAGGGATCAGGGAACAGAACTAGACTGGTTTACGTCATGTTTATGGACCAATTCCAGTATATTGGTGCGTCATTATGGTTCACAGACTGGGATTTGAATGAGAAAGAATTCTCCCTGGAAACTCAAATCTTCATTTAAATGAAAATCAAGACTTGATGAGACCAAAATCAGCAGCTTGTCAGGAAGAAAACGACTGAAAAAGAAAAGAATTAAGATGCTGTGGTGGTCTAGTCAAAGTCTGGACCATCGTAACCTTAAAGGGGTCATAGAATGCAAAATCTAGTTTCTATTTTAATAGATGAATAACGATAGTTCAGTGGGTTAAATGGACGTACAGAGAAGTCCAAACCCCATCAACATCTCTAAACTTCCACCTTAATATGGATGAATTCAAACGAAGCCCTCAATTGACGTAAACTTGGGGATGTTTCCTTATTTGGTTTTCTCCTGTACTTCTGTCACGCCCTGAAAGTGACATCCAGACCAGCCTACTGGTTCACAGCCCAAGAACATTAATAGAGGAAGATGGGAGACACCAGTTTAGCTGTTTAGCCTACAGTTGGGTTTACTTCTACAAGAATTACAAAGCAGTTTCTCTGTTAAAAATGAGCCAGAACCACGGGCAGAAATGCAGCGTTCTATTTTCACAGTCTTCCCAAGGATCCAAAGACTCAACAGGCATGGATCCCTGCAAAGATTGATGCTCAGCTGTTCATTTGATGAAGCATTTTACCAAAGACAGCTTTCAAAATCTTCAAAGCAGGATTTGCTAAACTTCCTTTACCGAAACGAGGGGCTGTTCGACCGTAAGGCCATAACAGCCGCGACCTGGAAGTATGATTCTGTCGCTAAGCTGTTGATAGCAATGCTAGCATACCTAGGGTGACCAGATTTGGGTTTGAGGGGAGCCAGTGACTGGACCAGACCTGGGCCGAGAGCCATGAGCCACCTGTCCTCAGCTGGAGGAGGGCGGCTGGGGGCCCGTAAGGGAGGAGAGAGGAAGTATGGGGCCCTTGGTGTCCAGGCTACAGTCATCCGGTCGGGTTCGTTCACTTCATCCATCACTGGATCCCTGCCTCAATGCGCCGCAGTTCCCGGACCAGCCCCAGAGCTGGCCCGTGTGTTTCGACTGCATGCTGCACTGTAGTCAAACAAAATCCCGGACGATTTTGAAATTCCCCCCGGACATTTTTTTAGGTATGAAAAGTCCGAGAAAAAGAGGACGTCTGGTCCCCCTACCATATCAACAATCTGATGTATTAGTGAGTGAGTGCTTGTTGCTATGATGCGTCTTTGCTCAGCAGCTTCACTCGAACCAACCAATCAGAGCACAGCTCATCTAAATATTCATGGTCATACCATAAAACAGGGGTCACCAACCATTTCAAGGCTACTTCATGGCTATTGAATCATAGGAAGGGCTACCAATACTGACCCACGAACAAGAGGGGTCAGCGTTCACCAGAGATGGCAAAAGTACTCACTTTCCGTACTTGAGTAAAAGTACAGATACTTGTGTTAAAAAATACTCTGGTAAAAGTGGAAGTACTGATTAAACTTCTTTACTCAAGTAAAAGTAACAAAGTACAGGCTTGTAAATTTACTTAAAGTATAAAAGTAAAAGTAGAAACCACTTTTTTCATGCCGTTGCCTACATTTTAAATGGATGTCTGCCAATAGGACTAGATCTCCGTTGTGTTCATTTTCAATCATCTCGTCGTCCATGCTACTATGCTAACGCCACCGCCACCAAGCTGCAATGATTTGCCGCCAATGAATACCGCCGAATCTGTCGATTCATCTTGTAGTGGTGCGTCAAATGCAACGTAGATTCCCATCCAATTAGATTGAATTTGGTATTGATGACGTGAAAAATAATAACGGTAACTCCATTGAAATGATTCAAAACTAAAGTAACGAGCCAATTTTTTTAAAATGTAAGGAGTAGAAGTAAAAAGTCGCCATAAAAATAAGTAGTAAAGTAAAAATATCAGAAAAATCTACTTGAGTACAGTAACAAAGTATTTGTACTTCGTTACTTCCCATCTCTGGCGTTCACCTAAACTTCATCCAAATTAAACACATTTTTATTGTTAACTATTAATTTCTAATTTTCCTTTAAACATTATAATTTTAAAATCTCTATAAATGCTAAAATGCCCTATATGATTACTATGATGAAATGCTCTATAAATGATTAAAAAGAAGAGTCACAGAATAAAATAAAATTTCAATCTTAGCCCACTGCTGAGTTGCTGTTTTCAGAGAGCGTTGAGGGCACCCCATGGGGTCCTTGAGGGCCCCTTGGTGCCCGCAGGCACCGCGTTGGTGACCCCTGCCATAAAAGGAAGAAAACCTGTCGTTGCATTCTGGGGCCAAGGACCAGATACCCTATGGAATGATTTTATCACCCCTTTACGGTTTCTTTTCTAACAAACATCAGCTGTAAAACTTGGATTATTTGTTTGCAGGGATTAGTTCCATTTCCTCGTTTTTATTCCCATTCTTGGAGATTACAGACTTTCCTTCTGCTGATGATTCTCACCATGCTGAGATGTTTAATATCAGCTGTAAAAGGTTGATCTGGTGTAAAACCAGCAGCAGTGAACTTCTTTCCAGCTGTTGGATCTCCTAGTCTGAGTGGAAAATTTAGGATCATCGCTGCCTGATTGGATGTGTATCAGAGTGGGGCGGGCTTCACGGCGACTAACCGGGTCATCTGATATAGTTAACTAGGGAGAAGCAGCAGCAGCTGACTTACTTCTAACGTGGTTTTCTGCGCAGTAAAGCATGTCAGCGGCGTGGATGAACTGGTAGCCTGATCCTCGCACCCTCAGCTCGGCCTCGGTGTAGCCCAGGACGATTTTCCCCCTAAACGGTCCAGGAAACCAGACACAGCGTTACACACAGCAACCAGGCTAGAGTAGACCGGTTCAGGTCATAGCAGGACGTACTTAGCGTCGCACGCCATAGGCGTAAAGTCCAGCTTGTGTTTGGTCCTGAAGATCATGTTCTTGGTTCTGATCTCAAGGATGGCGGGAGGCTGCAGCGGTGTCGCCACGGCGAACAGGGCCAGCTGAGGTGGGCTGATGCTCCCGCTCTGTGGACGGCTCTGACCGTGGAGGAACTTCAGTCTGCCCTGGATGCTCAGCGGCTGCAAGGAAGGCATTTCATGGTCAGTATCTCACCATCAGTCATCCATTTATTAATGAGACAGCGGGAGAAATGATTCAGTCTCTGCTGCTGGTTTCTCAGACCTGCTCCTCTCAGCCTGTTGGACACCATCAGTCACCGTTAGCCAAACGTCACGCATGGTGAAACAGACTGGCTGTAATGATGTAATGACCACTAATTCCCAAAGTAAACCTTCTGCATCATGTAGATCCCTTCAGGAAGCCATCTGCTGCCCTTCATGCAGGGATCATACACCTTTTCATGCTCAAATTCAAATACCTTTCAAGGCTTTTCAAGGTCAGAGGTCAACTTATACCTTAACGTTATAAATCGGCTGTAATTAACAGTTCCTCATGACTCGATGCAGTCGGCTGGGTTTCCTTAGAAAGACCAATTTGTCTGGACCATTTATGGCATTGACTTTGTAAAGTGACTTAACATGACATGATATGAATTGCCGCTAAATAAATAAAAGCAAATTTAATTTAAAAAACATTATGTCAAATCATGCTTAGAAAATACGCCAAGCAGCTGGTCAGCGCATAGAAAATGTACTAGAGTGTTTGAAATTAATAAAACTCTCAAAAAAATGTAGGAGTCTAAATAATTTTAAGCATAAAATTCATATGCATTGCTATATTTTTATATAATATACTTAACATCTTATTAAATCTGTCTTATATTCCATTTAGCAGGAAAACAACAGACATGTGGAAAGGACCGCAGAGCTATTTTAGTCACGATCAATCCAGATTTAACCATTAATTATCTATCCAACAAACTTAATAACTCCTTAATCGGTTCAAACAATCCCATAACGACAGCAAAAGATAACAAGTGTTACATTTTAAGTTTTGACCCACTAACTGAGCGACAGTGTAATGAAACTCTTCTATTACTTTAACTAAACTAAAACGAGGCGGAGTGACTGGATTCGCTCTCCCTAATGAATGCACGCTTCCAGCGCAGAGGATTAATCATTTGGAATGACGCCTTGTCAGACTCACCCTCCGCTATAGCAGCGCTTCTATGTCACGTATACCCAGGGGCGGAGCTAGATGGGGGGCCAGGGGTGGCTCAGGTTATCCTAAGCTATGTCTAAAATTATGCTACTATAGGCTTAGACTGCTGGAGGACATGGGGACCCATTTTTCATCATTCTGCTTCATTCTATCTCTATTCTCTCACTCCAGCGCAGGTGTTTAATGCTTGGAATGACGCCTTGTCAGACTCACCCTCCGCTATAGCAGTGCTTCTACGTCACGCATACCCAGGGGGCGGAGCTAGTTGGGGGGCCAGGACCCCTACCATTTGTTCCCTCTAATACAGACGGTGGCAGCAGTAATACTCTCACGTAAAATATTTAAAACATTTTAATTTTTCATATTTTATTAATTATTTTACAACATAAACACTGCGGTTAATTATGCACATCAATAAACTAACATTAAAGATGATAAATGCAGAATTCATGCTCTTTTCAGAACTAGATTTACTGTTTTCTGGGGTAAAGAGAAAATGATGTGTCTCTGCAAGTCCCAGATAACTATTTTAGTAAAAATGTATTAAATAATCCATTTATGTAGGTATTAGTTTTGTAAATATCAATTTTACACAGAATGATTATTGATAAAAGTAGGTAAGTAATGACAAAGGAAAAGATGTTTGCTCCAGAACTCAAACCTAAAATAATTTTATCCACTATATCTTTTATCTAGAAAGCACGGATGTTTAAATATATGCGCCTATTTGTTAGCAAAGTCTGTGGGAATGTATAGTTTTTCTATATTTAGAAAATATGGATATTCTGCTTGTTAATTTTCCTGTTGGAACCCGAGGTTCTGCCGTCTATCCACTTTCATTGAGCATTGTTTATTGCCTGGCCACCATTTTCTGGCTACGCCTCTGCGTAGCCTAGCATGTATCTAACAGTTAGGATAGATAATTAACGGTTAGGTTAGTGCCTGTGTCGTACCCCTCACCTGACTGCGAAAAACAAAATCTCTTTTCTGCACTTTGCCGTTTTCCTAATGTTGGTTCGCTTCATTTTAGAGCCATTTGTCTATACTTTATATTTTCTGGTAGCAGTTGATTAAAATCATCCTTCATCCTCCCGGGATGTTCATTCAACATTCTGTCCATTTGGGAGTCAGGTTGTCATGACGACAGACTAACAGGAAACTGAAGCAAAGGCTTTAATGAGGTGCACCAGACCCAGTGGTTAATAATTTTTTTTCTCTCTCATTATATTATATTAAGGTAAATTGAGAAAAACCTTAAAAAAACATTGAAATTCAAGCTTTTTGAAGGATTTCAAGCATTTGTTTGAACTCTGTTTATTTGTGACAGAATGCAAATAAGGTAGATTACAAGTTGAAAGAGATCAGGGGTCCAGTGAGGTTATCTCCAGAGCAGATCAGAAAAATTAATCCGATTGGATGTCAGACGTGAATCTGAGCTCTAAAACGTTTCCCGGTGAAAGAGAGGAAACCTTTCGGACTCACCAGGAAACCCGAGGAGTTGTCCAGCAGGCAGCGGAAGCGGCAGACGAAGGCTCGCTCCAGGAAGGAGGAGTTTTCAGGCGGGAGCTGGTCGGGGCTGTAGCTGACCGGGCGGGAGGACGTCGCTTCCACACCTGAACGCGTTAGACACAGCTGAGTGAAAACGTGTGGAAGCAGAGATGGTTGATGGGAGGATGGGCTGACCTACATGAGCTGCTGCTGCTGTGAGCCTAACTCACAGTGACAGCCGTGTAAACTGCTGTGTACAGTTAGAGTAGCTGGAAGGTCGCCGCTCCTCGCAGCTTCCTGACCTCACCATCAGAAGTTTAAACACAGAAACCAGGATATCTGCAGGAAGGAAGCTGGGCTGAGTGTTTGGGAAACAAACCTGCAGGATCGGTGGGGGGCTCCAGGCTGACCGGGGGGTTCAGGGCCCAGTGCAGGTTCCTCTTGAACTCCTGCTGGTCTTCAGTGTGGATCAGCTCAAACACACTCTGGTGCATCACATCCGTCTGACGGAAAAACAACGAGAGCGTCAGTTCTCCTTCTCGCTCCGCTCTGGGGACAAACGGGATCCTGACTGGGTTTTTTCTTTACGAAGGAAAAGGTCAAGCACGGCAGTGGAGTCATCATTCTGTGGGCCTCTACCAGGACTATCCTTCAACTTTACTTAAAATCAGCCAGATGTTTACTGAATTAATATTTTATGAAGAAGCTTTGAAATAAAAAGCTGAACTTGCTGTCACACATGGTGGTGGCAGCATCATACTGTGGGCTTTCAGATTGAATTGAAATTTTCTAACTTCCTGTCAAATCTAGAGTTGAAACCAGAACCCGGTGGGCGTTTCTTCAGGACTATGAACCCAGACTGGATAAAGCAGACTAACATAAAGCTTCTAGATTAGCGCTGAAATTCTGGTACAAAAACAAACCGCTAAAATCTAACTAAGTAAGCTTTAATCTACCAGTGGAGACATATTCGACAGAAGGAGCGTGTTGATGGAGAACCATCTAATCCAGTAAGGAAAGAAGGAAACCAGCAGATGTTTGGTGATTCTAGCTGTATGTTATCTAGAAGTGCTGCTGGAACACACCCTGTCTACTTTTAAGGCTAGGCTTAAAACTTTCCTTTTTGATAAAGCTTCTAGTTAGAGTGGCTCAGGTTATCCTGAGCTATGTATCTCTATAGTTATGCTGCTATAGACTTAGACTGCTGGAGGACATAGGGACCCCTTTTTCATCATTCTGCTTCATTCTATCTCTATTCTCCCACTCTGCAGAATCTGTTAGTTCAATCTTTCTCATAGTAGCTTCATCTGGTCTGTTCCTGTTTGGCCTGTGACTCCATCCTGGAGAGAAATATCAGCTGTGCTGCTGCCATCAACACCTTGGTTTATAGATGTTGGAGCTTGGCCTGTTTTTCAGTGTAGTCCTGTTTCTCTGTGACTACCTGGATGTGCTCTCTTCATCCTCTGACATTGGAGCTGGCTCGGAGCTCGTCTGCCTGGCTGTGTGTTTCCTGGAAGGGGCCGCCTGTGGAGCTGGTTGACAAGTTCATTTGTATCTATGCTTCTTTTTCTATGTCTGCTTCTGTCTCCTTGAACCCCAGTCGGCCTCAGCAGATGGCCGCTCACACTGAGCCTGGTTCTGCTGGAGGTTTCTTCCTGTTCAAAGGGAGTTTTTCCTCTCCACTGTCGCTACAAGCATGCTTAGTGTGAGGGATTGCATTCGAGTGAATCAGTCGATGCATTTTACTGGTTTTCCTAAGGTAGAAAACTTTAAATCAATCAGCCTGGATGATCTGGTGAACTGTAAAGTGCCTTGAGATGACATTTGTTCTAATTTGGTGTTATAGAAATAAACTAAATTGAATTAAATTGAAGGGTTTTGCCCCTCCCAGCTCTACCTGATGGTCTCTTCAGATCTCTGATTTCTCCAACCTTCTGCATTATCTGTTTTCTGTCATAACTGCTGAAAGTTATGAAGAGTTGAAATGAAAAAGAAACCCAGAGTCCTTTATTGTTTTATTCAGACGGCCGAGCAGCAGCCAGATACCAGCTAAGAGGGTCCAAAATCAGCTTGACCCGGCTTTTGATATGAGCGGGCCCGCCCTCCCAGTGGGGAGGAGTCACGGCCGGGTCAACAGAGGGAATTTTGACAGGCTGAAGTGTTGCGTGAAACGATTCTGTTGACTGTATGCTGCGGATTGGTGTCCCGACCTTGTCCGCTTCACTCAGATCAGCGCACAGAACCCAGTGAGCTGAACCCGGTTCTTGTTGCTGGTCCAGCTGACGAAAGATAAAAGTTGACGGTTCTTCCACAGCTTTGATGAAATAACGATCGCATGGTGTGAGGCTCTGATGAAGGAGCAGATAAAGAGTCTGACAAGACTTCAGCACATGATCAGATCGGACCTGGGCTCAGCTTCAATCACCTGATGGAGTCAGAAAATAAGAGCAAAAACTCCATTCTTTCAGATCCTCTTTGGTCAGCAGGAGGCGACGGGCCTCAGGGGCGAATCACACCTGGAAGCTGAAGATATGAGACGACTTTAGGTTCCCTTCCAAGGCGTGAACGTTGGTCACGTTGGTCGCTGTGAGACTGAGAGACCGGCCCGTTATCTGGAGGGAGACTAGTCTGCAGGAAGCGCCGCTTTGTTGTTACAATAACTGGATCAGACTGATTCTCTATTTGTGCATTTTGAACCGGTCCTCTGACCAATCAGAACAAAGTGTTTCTCTCTTCCTGGTCAGTTATGTTAGCTGAAAGTATTTACAGTTTCTCAAAGTTGGAACAATCAGAGACGTAAACCAGATCAGCATAAAAACAAAAAGCATGTTTCTAAAACATTTGGAAGAAGTGCATCAATTCCTCCTGCAGTAAAGAGCCCCATAGCATGATGCAACCACCACCGTACTTCATAGTTTGAGAGATCTCCCTTTGCTGGTATCATTTCCAAATCATTCAAAGCTTAAAAAGAGAGTAAAATGACTTTTCAAATAAAAAAAACTAAATGTTGTGTTGAAGACTTATGATCTTAAATATTTATATCAGCAGATAGCCAGCCTTTGTCCTTTTGATTAAAAAGAAACACTAATCAGGCCTTGCATTCAGCATCTATGGATGGATATACAGCAGGGAGGTCTTGTTATACATGTTTTTATTTCTGATATTGCAGCTTTCAGCATTGGCCGATACAAATTAACCTGACTCTGCCAGATGGATTTGCTCCGCATATCCATCTGGAAACCAAAATACTGGTTAGCTGATTGGCCTATGTTGGTGATAGACGGGCCAAATAAACCAATCAGATCAACGAAGCATGTGACGTACTAACAGAGCGACGATGAAAACACAACCACAAGCCAGGCTACTCTTGCTGAAACCAGTCGGGAGAAGAGCAAAAACATCTTTTCCTCTGAGAAAAGCCTCCAGAGCAGTGTTTTGCTATTCTTTCAGTGAAGAAATACTCTGTAATTCCGATAAAACTTGCTCGATAACCACGCTAACGCTAGTTTCATCGGCTGAAGCCGCCATGTTCTTTAGACTGAACTGTCGCTCTTCTCATTGCGTCACACCTCAACCCGCCTCAAAGCCAACGCTGATTGGACGTTCATTTGGTGAACGGCTCCAAATTTTCTTTAACGGAAAGTCTCCAGACTGATTAGCGAGTGAAACCTTGAAAGCTCGCGAGATCAGGATGGTCTCACGAGGCTAGATACAAATATTGACCCAATATGATTGGTTCAATCAGCACAAATCATACTTTCATTAGTTAATTTGTAATGCTGAATGTTAGATAAGGGTTTGTTTAAAGAAAGATAAAGAAATATAGTCATTGACAATAGATCTAGAAACAACAGAATGGGTTATATGCAAAGCTCCACGACTTCCTGAACTTCAGCCAGCTCCTCTGTCTGATTGATCCAGGTGTGTCTGACCTAAGTAACCATGACAACATTGGCCAGCAATGAAACGTAGGAAACAAAGGAGCTGCTGAAGTTCAGGAAGTAGTGGAGTCTGGCATATAGCCAATTAACCAATTGGTTGCATGAAATATAAACACAAACATTAAAATAATCTAAAGGTAAAATAAGATAATTAAATAATAAGACAGGTAAATTGTGATTGATTGATTTTTTTTTTACAGTAGGGTGTTTACACTGGTATTTATATGGATGGATATTTATGTTTATATATATAGTTATTGCACTGGGTTTCAAATATAGAGAAACAGTTATTGCTCAGGGTATCTAATGGATAATTTCATATAAAACATTGCGCAAGTTATTTTGCAGTTGTAGTGCTGAATTGTCGCAGTGCAAGTCAACTTTTTCACCAAGCTGCAACAAATTTTTCACACTTTAAACGCCGACATCGCTCTCATTCCTGTAGCTTAGCATCGGCTACTCTGTTAGCAGAGGCCGTTTTTAGCTAGCCTCGTGAGACCATCCTGATCTGGCGAGCTTTCAAGGTTTCCCTCGCAGATCAGTCTGGAGACTCTCCTTTGAAGAAAATTTGGAGCCGTTCACCAAACGAACGTCCAATCAGCGTTGGCTTTGAGGCGGGTTGAGGTGTGACGCAACGAGAAGCGCGACAGTTCAGTCTAAAGAACATGGCGGCTTCAGCCGATGAAACTAGCGTTAGCGTGGCTATCGAGCAAGTTTTATCGGAATTACAGAGTATTTTTTCTTCACTGAAAGAAGAGCAAAACACTGCTCTGGAGGCTTTTCTCAGAGGAAAAGATGTTTTTGCTCTTCTCCCGACTGGTTTCGCCAAGAGTAGCCTGGCTTGTGGTTGTGTTTTCGTCGTCGCTCTGTTAGTACGTCATATGCTTCGTTGATCTGATTGGTTTATTTGGCCCGTATATCACCAACATAGGCCAATCAGCTAACCAGTATCTTCGCCCCTTCCCAAAATTACTTCAACGGAAGGTTTCCAGATGGATATGCGGAACAAATCCAGCAAATCCATCTGGCGGAGTCAGGTTAGTTTTTGGTTCTGTGTCAGAAGAAGCTGACGGAAGCTGAGTAATTCTATCAGCTTGTTTATAAAGGACCAATCTCTCATAAGCTACGTTTACATGCGCAAAATTTCCCCAATCCAATCCAAACCTTGGTTGATCGGAAATTCAAAATCTCCGTTTACATGGACACTAAATGAAATGATCCGATCATGACGTGTGTATACATGTACCAAGCGTTGGATCAGATTAAATATTTTAAGCATGCGCAGAACTTCCTGCCAAACTTGGCAGTTCTGTCTGCGTCTGGTTTTTGGGAGGCCTGACAAACGATGCGCTCGGAGCGAGCGGAAAGAAAAACGGAGAGAGGAGGAAAAAAGCGCTTGGCAGCGAAATGTCCGAGAGAAAATGTAGAGAATGAGCGATTGAACCGGCTTGGGAGAGCAAGTGGGCTGTGGAGAGAGAAAAGAGGAAGAGGAGGAGGATAAATTCCTGCTTCCTGCAGCTTTAAATGAACTTGAGTGTATAAGTCGGCGTTCCTAGACTCCTCCCGCCATGTTGTTCACAGCGAGAGCGAGAGCGACCGGTGGTTTCCTGTTGCTGACAAGGCGGAAAAACGTCACGCTGACGTCGCACACATGCGCAGTGAAGATTATTTTACTCTTAAGATCCGAATGGGTGTTTACATGGACGCCAATCGGAATGGCGATCGGCAAAAACCACCTCTCTCTTTCGGAATTAAATTTTGGTCCGATCGGACCGAATCGGATTAGAATCTTCAGTCTGACATGTTTACATGAAACATTTTTGATCTGATCAGGCCTTCAATCCGATTAGTTGTGTCCATGTAAACGTAGCTATAGCATCCCTAAACAAAGGTGACTAATTGGTAAATTAGCATCATGGATATTAGGATTCAGCTAATGAAGAACACGGAGATGTTTAACATGTGGGAATAATCCTGGTAACTCTCTGTATGTTAGGAGAGATCATCAACAAATGACTGTTGATTGTTGTGGGTTTTATTCGATTCATATTTGTGTTTATTTGATGCTTTTATTTCATGAAAATGTGTTTGATTGTTTGATCCCTGTGGCTAAAGATTAGCCTCTCCTCCATCTAACCCAGACTTCCTGTTTCATCGCGGGGGCTCCTCGCCGCCAGGTTTGGATCTCACAGAGGAAGTTGGTTCTGGGTCACAGGTGAGCGAATACCTGATGGAAGCCGACGTAATCCTGGATGGTATGAGAGCAGAAGAAGATGTTTCCATCAGCCGTCACCACCAGGACGAAGCCGTTCAGAGCCTGCAGAGAGGAAGAAAACATCTTCTGCTTCGTGGTGCTAATGATCTTATTTGTGTTTGGAGGCGAGTCAGAAGATCCAAATTAGGTAAAGCACATGAAGGCAGTGCTGGAAACATGAACCCGATTCTCTGCATGTGGAATAATCCCATCTTTAGATCAGCTTACTCAGAGTGTTTTGTTTTCATTCGGTGGAAAAGGCATCAGCGTAATCTGTTTGTAACCTCTGATTCACCCTCTGCTTTTTCCTTTTTTTTCTGGGCTCCAGTCAGCCTCCAGTTGGATAAAAAGCCTTGAAATGAGAGAGGAGAAATGGGCCAGCAGCGGATAAACAAAACAAACTGCAGCAGAGGAGATAAGGCTGGACCTCAGGCTGACAGACAGGAGCGGAGCGGACGTCAGGTCAGAGAGGAGCCGTGCAGAGAAGGAGGAGGTCACCACGGGATGACTAACACCTCCATCGCCCTCCTCCTCCGGCCTCAGGGGTCTCTGCCGAGGCGATGACACCGTATCTGTATCCGTCTCACTGATGAAGACACTGTTTACAACCTTCATCAGGAGACGCTCCTCATCTGACCCGACACGTCGGCTCTCGCTCTCCTCTTCACTTATAAACCCTCCATATTAGAGGCGCGTCAGACCTCTGCCTACAAGCTGCTGGATTATTTACAGGATGGAAAAAAACCAACGTTTTTCCTTCGATAAAATGAAATTAAAAACATGCCGTCTGCTTTTAATTATGTCTCAATTATTGCCAATTTAACGACCTCAGAAGAAATGATCCCAAAACCTCCTGGTCTGATTTATTTTAAGGAAAAATAAATAGAACCGTCTCTTTAAATCCGCTTTATAGAACTAAAGGTTTCAATTTAATTCAGTAGAAAACATAAAAACTCTGCAGCAGTGATACAACTGCCTGCAAAGGTGACTTATTTAGAAATAATTCAGAACAGAATCGGGTTTGACTCATCGGAGTGGAAATAAACCAAGAGGGAACATTTAAAAACAAGCAGTAGATTTAAACTTTGGGGGAAAAAAAGACCAAGTTTATCCAGATAAAGACCAGCTGTCAGTCAGAGAGCAGCTTTAATATTCAGTCTGCATTTAACCCCTTCATCACCCTTAAGGCTGGTTTATGCTCAGAAACCAGGCCGTCTGCGTTTGTGTCGCAGTTAACGCAGATATGCCCCGCCCCTTCTGCAGACACTATGGTGAACCTCGACAAAACTGTAGGTGGCTGCTACATACGCTCTACACTACCTGTTCGGTACCTTACCGGCTTGTTTTGTTTGCATTGTGGAAAATGATTTGTTGAACCCTTTCCAGGAGGAAAAAAAAAACCTTTTTCCACCTGGATCCCCGCTCTTTTTGGCACTCATATTCCTCGGTTATCGCACAAACTTGGTCCCGCTTCCTCACCGCATCGGCCGTATCTAGACCCACAGCTAGTTCCTGATTGTCCCTCTTGCGTGGGAATAACATAGCGCAGACCACGCTTCAAAATTAGGCATACATCAAAAAAATCAAGCTCACTGCGACACTCTGCAGCTGGAGGATAAGCAGTGAGGTAGCAGGGAGCAACTTTGAGAGGAATCTGAACCTAAGGAACTTGCTTAGGTATAATTCCTGGTTCAGTGTCTAAAATGGAGCAGACCTCTGGGATCAATGCATCTCCATCTGAAGGCTGTCCCGCCGCCCTGCTGGTCAGAGACTCCACTAGACCTAAAACAAGCAGACTCTGCTGCACAGAGCACAGCCTCATGCATACATGCTGGACTAGAAGGAAGCGAAGGAGGACTGAACCCACCTGAAGCAGCAGCTCGCCCTCGGAAATTCCGCCGTCTGCGTTTCCTGAAGTCCTGCTGCCGTCTTCGCCGCTGCTGATAACGTTGGAAGGGTGCTTTTTCAACGCCACTACAGGAGCAGAGAGAAAAGACGAGTTAGAGGCGGATCCTTCTGGGTCTGACCTGCTGAAATAGGTCTGATCAATCAAGCTGTAAAGAAGCTCTGGCCTTCCCTCTAGTTTCAGCTGCTGGTCTCTAAAAAGCATCAACAGCATCTCTTTTATTTGCCTTTTATCACTGGAAGTTTATGATGAAGTAGTGAGAGTTAACGTCTGCAGGAATAAACAGCAACAGTGACCTGTTAGGAGATACAGTAGCAGCCATTCAAAACGGCCCTTCCCAGCCAAACGCCAGCCGAATGGCAGCCCACTTCCCTGCAACTCCCAGCAAATCCCTCTAACTTCCAGCAACTGGGGTGAACCTCCTCTTGCATATTTTTTTACTCTGACTCCACCTTTTCACTGAATTACAGGGTCTGATCAGGAGATGATGCCTCTCTTTAGATCTTAATGTTCACAAATCATGACAGTTATAATATTTTAGAACAAACATTGAAGTTTAAATAGGAATTTTTTATTTAGTTTTTCATTACCAAAAATATTCTAAATGCATCCCTTACAGAGATTGCAGTATTTCATTTATTGTTGTTTCTTGTTTTTTTGTTTATAAAACGGTAAAAACCTTCATTTTTCATTGACTTTGTGTCATGATCTGGCCTGTTTGCTCCCCCTTAATTAGTCATTCCTTTCACCTGTCATTTTCCCTCCCTGCCTCAATTATCATTTATTCCTCTCACCTGTTTCCTCTGGTTATATTCAGTTCATCCTGAGCATTCAGTGCCAGATCATTTGTCTTTCTGTCAGCCTGTCTGTTAGTTTTATTCCTTGGTTCATGTCCTGGATCCTAGCAGCCAGTGGAAAGAGGGTTTTTGTTTTTGTCTCATCTCCTGATCGTCCACTGTTCCTCCCCCGCGGAGTCCTCTGGGTTTTTGGCTCAATATGGGGGGAGGTTCAGTTTTTATCTCAGTAAGCCTGGCTCCAGGGAGGAGACCAGTTTAAAGTCCTGCATCAAGTTCTGGTTCCACGTCCTGTCTCGGCTACCCTCTTCCACTGAGCCTGCCTGTCTGCACCTGATCCTGTCTGCTCCTGTGCGTGACCACCTGGTCATGCTTCTGGTCCCAGTCAGACTCTGAACCCTCATGGGAGCCTGTGGATGCCTGGAAGTCTGGATCCTGCCACCTGTCTCTGTTCCTGCCTGATCTGGATCCTGTTCCTGTCTGTTCTGGATCCCTGACCAGGATCGGATTCCAGCATGTCCTCTGGGACTGCAGCACTTGGGGACATTCTTGGTCTGGACTGTTAAACCAGAGTGTCTGTGATTGGGCGGTGCCCCGCCCCCCATTCTGCAGTGTCTGCGAGCCACAGCTCCGCTTTAGTTTTTGTTCATTTAATAAACGTTTTGAACTTTCCTACTGACTGTCTCTCCTTGAATACTGGGTCCATCTGTCTGCAAATATGTGCCAGATTATATAAAACAGACGTTTCCTCATCCTTCCTGAATTAAAATAAATTACATTTCCAGATTAAAGTCCCTGAAGGGGCTCCTGTGTCCCTTTGACCCCGACACCCACCAGCATGCCTTTGACCACGGGGATGCAATCTGGGAACAAAGAGCTTCTCTGAAGCAGCAAATAGAGACATTGATAGAAGGGGAAGTCTTTGAGAATAAAGACCAAAGGTCGGACCTTCTCCTGAACCCGACCCAGATTCACTGCGGGGGTTAAAACATCTGAACTGGACCTTTTTATTTCTGCGTCCTGCAACACCACAACCAGAGAGCAGCAACAAACAGGGACATGGATACGGCTTCATCTCACTATGAAGGCAACCAGGAAGCAAACGAGTGTCAATAATTCAGAGCTGGAGGAGGAGGTGGAGAGTTTAGCTGTCTGACGTCAAGGATGGGAGCCTACGGGAGGGAAAAAAACGCCAGAGGCGACTGTAGGGAGGGTGGGAGGGGACGTTTGTTGGCACAACGGAGGGCAGCGAGCATAAAAACATGCATTAAAAACGTCACAACAGACGCTGGTTAGTGCTCTACACACACCAGCCTGAGCCAGTCTGATGGAAGGAGAAACGACCTCCGAGGAAGAGATGTGGATGAATGGCGACGTGAAAGAACTCACGTTGGTTTGGTTTCTGAGTCTGAAGCCGATCTGAGCGACGGTTCATCAGGAAAGCAGCCGCCTGAGAGGATGATGCAAAAGATGACCCAAATACTTTAACAGGAAGTTCAGTCTGCAAAGTGCTGCATTCTCATCCACAAGATGCTTGATTTAGGGCAGGAATGACGGATTTATTTGGGGTCCAAATATCTATGAAGCTTGAATTCCTTTCATTCCTCCACAGCAGATAGGCCCAAATATTTACATCCAGTCATTCATGGTTATATCTGTTGAACCAGTTCACCAGACCTAAGAAGGCCTCTGGCTTCCCTCAGGATAGCTGACCGTTCCTCTGGCCATTCCAGAACCTTACATTCTGCTTTATCCTGTTCAGAACCAGTTTTTAGAGTGTTTGGAATCATTCTATTGTTTAAGGCTCCAGTTTTGTCCCGGTTACGATAACATAACAGCTTATTTAGGTTGAGGACTAATAAAAAGTTCCATCCAGCTAAAGGAGAGAAACCCAGACTCCTGCCATATGTGGTTCTGAATCTGTTACAAAGAATGGAATGTGTTTGTTTCACCAAAGCAGTAGAAACCAGAGCAAAGCTCCAGCTAGTCGAACATTTAACACATAAAAATTAACCAGAAATAAAGCAGCGTTACCGCAGCAGCACCTAGAGCCAAAATATGACATATGCATTTTTTTCAACTGGCAAATGGCTGTTTCCAACTAGTATATTCCTTTGTTCAACTAGCTTAGGCCGTTTCTGAACTAGCTTAGGCCGTTTTTGAACTGGCATATGCCATTTTCAAAACTGGCAAATGGCTGTTTCCAACTAGTATATTCTTTTGTTCAACTAGCTTAGGCCGTTTCTGAACTAGCTTAGGCCGTTTTTGAACTAGCTTAGGCCGTTTTGAAAACTGGCAAATGGCTGTTTCCAACTAGTTTATTCCTTTGTTCAACTAGCTTAGGCCGTTTCTGAACTAGCTTAGGCCGTTTTTGAACTGGCATATGCCATTTTCAAAACTGGCAAATGGCTGTTTCCAACTAGTATATTCTTTTGTTCAACTAGCTTAGGCCGTTTCTGAACTAGCTTAGGCCGTTTTTGAACTAGCTTAGGCCGTTTTGAAAACTGGCAAATGGCTGTTTCCAACTAGTTTATTCCTTTGTTCAACTAGCTTACGCCGTTTCTGAACTAGCTTAGGCCGTTTAGAAAACTGGCAAATGACTGTTTCCAACTAGTATATTCCTTTGTTCAACTAGCTTAGGCCGTTTCTGAACTAGCTTAGGCCGTTTTGAAAACTGGCAAATGGCTGTTTCCAACTAGTTTATTCCTTTGTTCAACTAGCTTAGGCCGTTTCTGAACTAGCTTAGGCCGTTTTGAAAACTGGCAAATGGCTGTTTCCAACTAGTTTATTCCTTTGTTCAACTAGCTTAGGCCGTTTCTGAACTAGCTTAGGCCGTTTAGAAAACTGGCAAATGACTGTTTCCAACTAGTATATTCCTTTGTTCAACTAGCTTAGGCTGTTTTTGAACTGGCATATGCCATTTTCAAAACTGGCAAATGGCTGTTTCCAACTAGTATATTCTTTTGTTCAACTAGCTTAGGCCGTTTTGAACTGGCATATGCCGTTTTCAAAACTGGCAAATGGCTGTTTCCAACTAGTACATTCCTTTGTTCAACTAGCTCAGGCCGTTTTGAACTGGCATATGCCGTTTTCATAACTGGCAAATGGCTGTTTCCAACGAGTTTATTCCTTTGTTCAACTAGCTTAGGCCGTTTCTGAACTAGCTTAGGCCGTTTTCAAAACTGGCAAATGGCTGTTTCCAACGAGTTTATTCCTTTGTTCAACTAGCTTAGGCCGTTTCTGAACTAGCTTAGGCCGTTTTCAAAACTGGCAAATGGCTGTTTCCAACGAGTTTATTCCTTTGTTCAACTAGCTTAGGCCGTTTCTGAACTAGCTTAGGCCGTTTTCAATACTGGCAAATGGCTGTTTCCAACTAGTACATTCCTTTGTTCAACTAGCTTAGGCCGTTTTTGAACTGGCATATGCCATTTTCAAAACTGGCAAATGGCGGTTTCCAACTAGTACATTCCTTTGTTCAACTAGCTTAGGCCGTTTTTGAACTGGCATATGCCGTTTTCATAACTGGCAAATGGCTGTTTCCAACTAGTATATTCCTGTGTTCAACTAGTTTAGGCCGACAAAACACAAGAAAATGGTTCTGCTCTGATCAACAAGAAATCCAAAACCAGACGTGTTCAGAACTCTGGAGGAGCAGACTCGGCTAGCCATGGTAGCCATGTTGACTCGTTCAAACAGCTCAGTCTGTTCCTACACTAACACGCCTCCAATCATTTGATCTGCTGAACCTAAAATAGTCTATCAGGCTTTGTAGATCAGTCTCCCTCTGGAGATCTTGGACAATGTCTCCTGGACCGTCCTCATTATGGACAGCTGGTTTGTTTCCTCTAGCAGCTCTCAGAGTGTTTGTAGTTTTGTAAATGTGCTGGTCATCCTGAGGTCACATCATTAGGGTAAGTTTCAGTCTTGAATTTGGCCTTTCTAGCTTCAAGAGGAAACAATCTCTGCAGGTTTATAGACTCACCAACTCCTCTGCAGGTTGAAGCTTCTCATCATGATATCATGGCTGATCGTTTAGGTCTGAATCCCGTCCCGATGCTGCAGCTTTCCTGGGTTTTACACACTGATTGTACTTTGTTCTGGCTGCACCCTCCCCTCCTCTAAAGGCCTGTAAGCCTCCCCTGAGTGGATTATCCCCCTGTGTTTTTATTCTTTCATCTCCGCAGCACCCGCATTAATGGGTCCGGCTCCCCAGACCTACATTAGTGGATGGCTCACCCTTCGGGATGAGGGTCATCTCATGGCCACGGGCGAGAGCGGGCTGAGCCGCGGCGGGTCTTTCTTCTGTCTGGATGGCAGGAGGAGAGGAGGTCGAGCTGAGTTCAGGCACTTAGACGGAGCTGGGTGCTCTGACCTAGTTCTGACACCGAGGGCTGGGTGTGTTCTGGTTCAACATAAACGCTCCATTAAAACGTCCCCACATGAAGAGCTGTCCTGTTCAGCTGAGTGGCTGTAGGAATGCTAACCTGAAACAGCCGTTTGGATCCTAAAACATCCATTTTGACCCGCAGGGTTTAGCCGTGACACAGTCCAACCAACAGCACCTGGAGAAATTCTTCTTGTTTTGATAATTAACAGGCAGCAGCTATGAATCTGAGCTGAGATGGAAAATAAAAGCTGCTGAGGATCGAAATGTTTCTGCTAAAGTTCTGCTCCTCTCAACACAAACCCAAACCTTTGATGTTGAACTCCAGAACCTTCTCAGACTCCCGTTCTGTCCAACAAGTGGTTCATTCCAACATCAGAGGGCTATCATGAGGATTTTAACTTATTCTCATTGTTTATTACACCACAGAATTCGCATGCCGCTGCCACCGCCGTGCCTGAGAGCTGCTAGTGTTTAGAGGTTGCCCCCCCCTCTGCCTACAGAGGAACAAATTGACTTATTTTGAGATTAAAACCCATTTTCTACTGAAGTTGTGAGTTTATAGAGATGATGTTAGGTCCCAGGCTGGGTCTGAGCTTGTTTCCCCACCTGAGAAGAAGCTCTTGGTGCGCAGGTAGCTGACGCTGAGCCTGAGGATGGACAGCTTGTCCAGGCTGGAGATGACTTCTTCAGGGAAGGGCAGCAGGCTGGCGAGGCGGTCCAGTTCTGAGTTCAGGCGGTCCCGATGACGCTTAGAGGGGTTGGTCTTGGTGCCCTCAGCTGGACTGGGTTTAACTCTGGAGATAAAACCAGCATCAGCATATTTAGAATAAACACATCTTCCTAATTTTAATCTAGATTATCTAAACTGCTTTAGATTTTCCACATGTTCAGACGATTTTTTCCGGATTATAACAGTTTTTTTTTTTTAGCTTTTTTTCTAATCATTAAACACTGAAAAACAATTGTTGTTCTGATGCATCCAACTCAAATGTTTAAAGATCAGTCAGACTGGATGGAAGGAATCCATCAACAGCAGTTTTTAAGTCTTGCCACAGATTAACTTTGACTAGACCAATCCTGTTTCACCATGATGATGGCGTGTTCACGGGGAGATGCACCGTTAGCTTTCCTGCAAGGATGTCATTTTGCATGTAGGTAATAAAAAAAATCTATAAAGTTTAATTTCTGAGCAGAGATCCTTCAAAAAGCCTGATATGTGGTGGACAAGTTATAGCTCTGCTTTCACTGGCTTTTATTTTGGGCTTTTAGTGTCAGGGGGCTCGAATAGAAAGGAACAGATTTGAATTTGCTAATAGAAATAAACAGGTTAAACTAATGTATCCTCTTTGTCTGTTTTCATAGTGATGCATGAGTAAAAACAGAAAGCAGTAAAGCGGTGAAAGGTTCAGGGTTGTAGAGGCCCTGCTTCTGGAAACGGTCACAAAGATGATAAAATAATCTGAAGCTGCTTTAAAGACGGGAAGAAAGAGGAACAAAGATGATAACATCCATAAATAATGACTCAAATGTCAGATTGACTTCGTGTGACTCTGCCTCGGATGTGACCCTCTGCTGAAATGTCTCTCGTGTTTTTATTTGCTTTTCTTCTGCTGAGTTCTTCCCCAATGTGGCTCCTTTCTTTCCACAGAGATAAAGGCAGCGCTATAGGTAACCAACCGCCTGGGACCCAGGGCAGCCAGGCAGCCGCCTGGGACCCTGGGCAGCCAGGTAACCGCCTGGGACCCTGGGCAGCCAGGTAACCGCCTGGGACCCTGGGCAGCCAGGTAACCGCCTGGGACCCTGGGCAGCCAGGTAACCGCCTGGGACCCAGGGCAGCCAGGCAGCCGCCTGGGACACTGGGCAGCCAGGTAACCGCCTGAGACCCAGGGCAGCCAGGTAGCCACCTGGGACCCTGGTAGCCGCTTGGGACCCTGGGCAGCCAGGTAGCCGCCTGAGACCCTGGGCAGCCAGGTAACCGCCTGGGACCCTGGGCAGCCAGGTAACCGCCTGGGACCCAGGGCAGCCAGGTAGCCACCTGGGACCCTGGTAGCCGCTTGGGACCCTGGGCAGCCAGGTAACCGCCTGGGACCCTGGGCAGCCAGGTAACCGCCTGGGACCCTGGGCAGCCAGGTAACCGCCTGGGACCCAGGGCAGCCAGGTAACCGCCTGGGACCCTGGGCAGCCAGGTAACCGCCTGGGACCCAGGGCAGCCAGGTAACCGCCTGGGACCCAGGGCAGCCAGGTAACCGCCTGGGACCCTGGACAGAGCCTGGGACCCTGGACAGCCAGGTAACCGCCTGGGACCCTGGGCAGCCAGGTAACCACCTGGGACCCAGGGCAGCCAGGTAACCGCCTGGGACCCAGGGCAGCCAGGTAGCCACCTGGGACCCTGGGCAGCCAGGTAACCGCCTGGGACCCTGGGCAGCCAGGTAGCCGCCTGGGACCCTGGGCAGCCAGGTAGCCGCCTGGGACCCTGGGCAGCCAGGTAACCGCCTGGGACCCTGGGCAGCCAGGTAACCGCCTGGGACCCAGGGCAGCCAGGTAGCCACCTGGGACCCTGGTAGCCGCTTGGGACCCTGGGCAGCCAGGTAACCGCCTGGGACCCTGGGCAGCCAGGTAGCCGCCTGGGACCCTGGGCAGCCAGGTAACCGCCTGGGACCCTGGGCAGCCAGGTAGCCGCCTGGGACCCTGGGCAGCCAGGTAACCGCCTGGGACCCTGGGCAGCCAGGTAGCCGCCTGGGACCCTGGGCAGCCAGGTAACCGCCTGGGACCCTGGGCAGCCAGGTAGCCGCCTGGGACCCCGGGCAGCCAGGTAGCCGCCTGGGACCCTGGGCAGCCAGGTAGCCGCCTGGGACCCAGGGCAGCCAGGTAACCGCCTGGGACCCTGGACAGAGCCTGGGACCCTGGACAGCCAGGTAACCGCCTGGGACCCTGGGCAGCCAGGTAGCCGCCTGGGACCCTGGGCAGCCATAAGAACGAGCCAAAGGAAGCGTTCTGCGGCATGCATGACCTCAGGAAATCCTTTCCCCCTCTCAGCCCCCCCTTACTCCAATGTATGCGATGTATTGTGATGAACTGTTTGTACTGAAACTGAAATCTCGATTGTAATGTAAATTGCAGTTGCCAATAAAAATTGATTGATTGATTGAAAATATGCCAAAAAAATATTATTTACAAGAAACTTAAAATAAAAAAGATTGACAAATAGACAAAAAGATTAGAACAAAAATCCAAAGACAGGGGAAAAAAGGTAAGAAATATCAGATAACATCCTAATGTGAGGAAAATGACTAAATAACAGATGTGAGGCGGTGAAAAAAAAGACTTAAAGATAGAGACAACAGAACAACAGCACAGAAAGCAAGAACATTTATTAATATGCCCCCAAAATAAGGATAAACCCAGAAGAACACAGACGAAAACCATCTATAAATGCATAAAAACCTGTTAACAGATATCCGCACCTTAGTAATAATACATCAAATTAGAAATACTTGCTGCTTTAAACATAAAATCCTCTAAAATCTAAAATAAGGACACAGATCAGGACGTCAGAGTGACACTGAGCATATTTCCAATGGTGTGTGGCCCCCCCCGCGGCCCTTGGCTTTAATATCTCTTGATCCGCTCCTGGATAATCGGATAATTAATGAGGAGATAATTACCCCTCTGCAGACTGCAGCTCCCAGCTGCCGCCCACAGGGGGAGCACTTCAGACCTAAATCCTGCAGGGTAATAATCCCATGTTTACAAACTGCCTGCCGCTGCTGAACAGGGAGGATTTATAATAAGCTGCATCTAACATTTCCACATCTACTGATAGGCGCCTCATTAGCGCACTTTTACAACTCACCCCCTTTGCGCCGGTTTCCTGCGCTTCCTCCCTGCGTACATGTTTGCGTTGATTTGGGAGATTCAGGTTAGAATCGGTGAAAGAATCAGAAAGAATCCCGGAGTTCACATCAAAAGGAAAGGTTTTAGTTTTCATTCCGCAGCCGGACTGTCAGAAACAGCGGCAAAAGTCTCCATGTGGCGCTAATTCCTCTACAAGCGTGAGTCTGACAGGAGCGCAGGTTCATTTCCCGCATCCAAAGGAGCCGCAGTCCGCTGCGCTCCCACACTGCGTCACATCCAGCGCTGCGCAAAAAAACAAAGAATGAAATAAAGAAAAGAGGCAGTTTGAAAGCTCACATCCCACCGGAACACGATCAACTTCAGCTCCCTGGCTCCCTCTGCTCCTCTCCTCCTCCTCCTCCTCTAGGGTCGGTCAGAGCGCGCTCCCAGGGCTCTGGTACAGCGTCGAGAGCGCGCATGGGAGAGGACCGTACGTGACGTCAGAGTCGTATGAAAGTTACATTAAAAGTTAATGTGAAAATGTTTTTTTTTTTATCAAAAGGTGTTTCTTTAATGACCAGATTTCTAATGATGCGAAACGCCCCTTCAAAATAAAAGCCGACAGCGTCAGTTTCTTAAAGCTGCAACAAACCCCTCAAAGATGTAGAGATCATCACATCAAGAGAGGGGAAATTGCATTTCTTAATAAGTGATGCAGACATCCTGGAACCCCCCCCCCCCCCCCCCCCCCCCCCCCCCCCCCCACAAAAAAATAAATAAATAAATAAAAGAAAAATGAAGTTCCCTCCATAGTTCCCTAAATGATACACATCCCATTTTTTATTACATGTTTAAAATGTTCTCTGTGGTTAAAAGTGAATGTGGAAGTTATCTGGAGGCTTAAACATCCAGAGAAATATAATATTTGGTTAAAGCTTCTCTTTAACTTCAAAATCTTCTAATCTTCAGGTACTGTTAGGGGAAGGTTAAATAAAGCTTTCAGGATGGGACCTTCAGAGACTTTCTGAGGCCGATCGTTCCCTGAAAGTAAATTAAATTCAATTTATTTCTATAGCGCCAATTCACTACATGTCATCTCAAGGCACTTTACATTTCACCAGATCATCCAGACAAATATGTATTTTCCATCTAAGGAAAACCAGCTGATTGCATCGACTCATTGACTCAAATGCAATCCCTCACACTAAGCATGCCTGTAGCGACAGTGGAGAGGAAAAACTCCCTTTGAACAGGAAGAAACCTCCAGCAGAACCAGGCTCAGTGTGAGCGGCCATCTGCTGAGGCCGACTGGGGTTCAAGGAGACAGAAGCAGAGATACAAAAAGCAGCTGTAAAAGGCGGCCCCGTCCAGGAAACACACAGTCAGAGAAACAGGACTACACTGGAAAACAGGCCGATCTCCAGCATCTATAAACAAAGGTGTTGATGGCAGCAGCACAGCTGATATTTCTCTCCAGGATGGAGTCACAGCCAAACAGGAACAGACCAGATGAAGCTACTATGAGAAAAAGCAGAGAGAGCAGAACGTTAGAGATTGAACTAACAGATTTTACAGATTGGAAGAAAAGAGATAGAATGAAGCAGAATGATGAAAAAGGGAATAAGGAAACAGCATCAATGTTGAGTGTTTTAGAAATCATCCACCAATTGATTATATGGGTGGAACCTTAGAAAGCATGGTCTAGTTCCCCGGCACAATTCCTAATGTCGCATCGGTGTCAATGTCTGAACCTGGAACCGATTTCTATGGTGAAAAAATAAATAAAATAAAGCTTAACAACTCTACAGATTGGACACAGGACTCTGGAAACCAGATGCAGTTGTGTTGCTCTAAAATGCAATTGTGTTAAATTAGGAAACACTGAAAAAACTTCCTGAGTGAGAAATAAGCATATAGTCAATACAGAGGAAACACTGCCACCTGGTGGACACATGAGATATTACTCTGATTTTAAATTGATTGGTTAAAGTAAAGAACTCCACTTCTGTTCCAGCCACTGACACAGGCGTCAATGCTATTAATGTTTGTTACTGCAGTAGAAGCATTAATCCTGCTGTTTGAAAACACTTTTGTAGAATTTAGAGGATTAACTAAGAGCTTTTTATTCAAGTAAAGGTGTAAACGTACAAATTTTAAAACTACTAAAATTACCAAAAATAAAAGTGATGCTTTAAACCTTATTCTGGTTGCTGCACGACTTTAGTAAAGGAAACTTTTTCCACATTTCCACACTTCTGGATGGATAACTAATGTTAACAGTGCTAAATTTAAATTTATATCTTTGTATCACCTTGAAAAACGATTTATTTTGGTGCAGCACCGAGTCCAACCACAAAAAAATTAATTGTCTTGATGAAGATAATTATATTTATGGTTTTTATTTTTTAAATACCAACAGGCCATGATGAAAATGAGCTGAAATGACACAAAATTAACGAGTCGATTTATAAAAGTAGTAAAGGAAAGGAGTAAAAAGTTGTCTAAAGATAATTACTATTAAGGTAACAAAGAATTTAGGTAAACATTTTTACAGCCAATATATTTCACATATGAAATAGAGAATATAGGAGATGCTGACGATAAATATCTGTATTTTGTTCCCAAGCAGAGCAGCCAGTTTCCACCCATCTATAAAGCTGTTTTTTGTAATTAGAGTAGAAACAGTTGGTGAGCAGAAGGAAGGATCATGGATGCATCTTTAAAGCAGAATTAACTCTGGAAGAAAAAATTGTTTTCCACCCTTAGAATAAAAAAGCAGTTTGTATGGATTTTGGTTCAGTTGACTATAGAAGAAAACCTACGAAATGTCCACAATAGAACCAAATACCTTAGAGTGGATGGATGATTTAATAATAATAATTACAAAAGTTAAAGACTAAAGAGGATTAACACTGTGTTTGAATTCATGGGCTGCGTCTTCCAAGGATGCCGTCTACCTGGAATGGATCCTTGGAAGTCCTTGAAAATAAGGAGACTGGAAGAGTTTTGGCTGTGAATTCAAACAGGTCCAGCCTTTGGCGGCTTTACCGTACGCTCTGTTGCTTAGCAACCGTGACAGTTGACACACAATGCAGAAAAAGAATGAGTACCGAACTTTTCAAAACTGTTTCTTTTTTTATTTTTCGTTATGGTAAAGTGAACAAAGACTCACGAGAATCCAGAGTGGAATAAAGGTTCCTGCGCAGCAGAAACAAATCAAATCAAATGTAATGATAGAAACCTTAGTCAGTTAAATAACCTGCTGCTGTCATTCTGCACATCTCTGATGTTGCTGCTATTTTCTAATATCCATTACTGTATATTGGTTATTTATTCTCCAGGTGCACAGTTTTAATATTTTATTGTTTATATTTTAACTCTATACTATGATGTTATTTGTGCTGCAGTAAATTTGCCCATTGTGGGACAATAAAGGGATTTTCTATTCTATAAAAGGGGCAGAAAGATATTAATAAATCTAAACAATGTATGCATAAAAAATATATCTGTAAAATCTCTAATACTCAACAACAAAAAATACTTAGTTAAGCAAATTGTACAAAATAGGAATTAAAAATTAATATTTTTACCGGTTTATAGTCCCCACACTGCAAACTATCCACATACTAGTATTATATTAAACTGAACTTCCAATTTTCACCACTGTTTGGCGCCACATAACCTTTCCTCTGATCACGGAGCAGCCGGCTTGCTTGGACTCGCAATGAATCCTGGGTAAACCAAGGATACCGAGGATACATCGACCCGTCCTTCAAATCGGTCAAAAGGGACGCATTATAAGGCTGCATAACGAGGAGTCTTGGAATCTGTCCTCGGCGCCGCGCTATGACGTAATCGGTGTTAGGTTTATTCAATGATAATAAAATGAATGTCTGTGTGTGCTTATGAAACATTTGAGCAAGTAGATGATTCACTTTTTCTTGTGATTCAGTCGTGGAGCGTCCTGCCTTATGACCTGATCAACTGTCCTGTCAGAACAATACTCTGTTTGTAACCATGTGTTATGTTCTGTTAATAAAGTGCTCTGCAGAGGAGGTCCGGTACAGACAGAGTGTTGGGTGCAACCGTCTCTCCTCCTGCAGGAAGTTATTTGAAAATCCCTTACTGCGTCTTTCAGTTCTTCTTTTACAAACCTACATTTTTGAACCCAACAATCGGCCTTGGAATCTGGCCTTTGGAGGACGCATCCCATGAATTGGAACAGAGCAAAAATCCTTTAGTTTTGGTGTGTAGCTCCAGTTTACCAGGAGTACTTGAATGCACCATGCTCCAGTTAGAGGGACTCAGAACCAGCGAGCTGCTGGAGCTCAGAATCCAGGCAGTGATGTTTACATTCAGCTTCCTGTTACTTTAGAGGAGCAGCTACTTACCTTATAGCTGCTGTCATACGGCGACATCAGGTTCTGGTTCGGTCCGCTTCAGTCAATGTCCTCAAATAAAGGAGCGGTGACAGCTGGGAGTCGTCTCTGCTGCTGGCGTCACTTCAGAAATCTGCCCTCCTAACTCAGTTCTTCATATATCTTAACGTTATAATTTAAAACCAAACCGGTTGCAGTGATCAGATCACCTTTAATAGGATATTGATTTACAGTCTGACTCAAACACTCCGATACAGTTTTAAAAGTCAAATATGGAGAGAAAATCCACAAGATAAAGGTAAAGAAGCCAAAAAAATACATCAAGAGTAGCGGATTATGCATGAGCTGTGCAGCAAAAATACAAAATAACAGAGGCGTGGGTCAAACAAAGGCAATACATTATTACAATACGGGATATATGAAAGAAAATCAGCTAGATGACAAATAATGGATGTATGTACAAACACGGCCACACGGATACTGCATAATGGAGGCCTGACGAAAACAGCTGGAATATTAAAGCCTTGGGATAGTGAGAGAGCGACGTACAATATATATTTATATCTCTATACATAGAATACTTTGTGAGACAAAAGGCACTGAGAGAGGAGATCGCTCCTCCATGGGAAGTGCTGATGTTGGGGTTTTATCTGACCGGATCTGAGCTGCAAACTTTAGATCTTCTCTGAGGCTTAAACGGGATACAGGAGAGGATATATGGGGATCTTTTTATTTATTTTCATTAATCTACAGCTGCTTTGGCTTTAAACTGCTAAAAGGTTTAAAACGGAGCCACAGCTGGAGCTAAACGCTCCAACATTTCATGTAAAAAACATGAAACCAGCAGCAGATCGACGCCTCTTTGCTCCAATCGGAAACTAAAAGTCTGGAGCGGAAATTTATCGCATGTCGGCGGCCGAAAATGTGACAAAAACGGTTGAATGAGACGATTGCTTCCGTGTTAGGAAGCTGAACGTTGAATATTCGTTCCCTTTGGTATCCTCAGGAATAAATGGCTTTGGTTTCAAAGGTTTTGGTTCTCACACGAACAATTCGAGGTAATTTCCTGTAAAATCAGACAGTTTTACTGATAAGCGGAAGAAGTGTTATGAAAGTTGGCTCAGGTTTGGCTGAGTTGTTAAAACCAGGTCATGTTATAAAGGCATTCATTAATTAGTTTTTCCATTTATTTTCCTTAATTCATATATACAATAGCTGCCTTACGTGGTTTTACTTCTGTGTTTTGCTGCTGGACGGGTTATAAAGTGATGAGACATGGAGGATGAGAGCCTGGTTTAAATAAACCAATGAATGTCTTTTAATCTAGTGCAAACAGAGTGCAACAAGTATTATTCTAGAAAAAAAATAAGTGCTAAAGTCTTAATTTGTGCCCGTTTAGTTTTTAAAAAGTGGCTGTAACGCTTTCTTTTACAGTACATCAACAACTATGTCATAACATGATAATAAAATAGCAAGTTGTACTTTAATAATAGGTAACAAGAAAAGGAATTTTAAGGTAAAGTCAGACTTTTTAGATTTCAAACTAGGGATGCACGATATTGGGATTTTGGCCGATATCCGATATTTTAAAACTCATGTAGCCGATAACCGATATCGATACTGATGTTAAAGCTGGACAAAAATAAGTAGTCATTGAAAATAGCAGTTTTTTTAAAAACGAGGTATCGATCTATTTTACTTTCAAAATCTCGTGAAATTTCATCGTTCTGTTACAAACTCTCGTGATATTTTGCAAATTCTTGTGAGATTTTGTTAGTAAAATAGATCGATACCGCGTCAATATATCAACATATAAAAATATGGCAAAATTTCGTGAATTTTCGGGGGATTTCGCAGCATAACGATGACATATAGCAATATTTCATTAGTAAAAGAGATTGATATGGTGTTTTTAAATGGCAATATATCAGCATATGAAGATATTGGGATATTTTAAGGTATCAATATTTTTTCCCTCGTCTTTAGAAGTTTTTAAGTCTGTAAAAAAGAAGTTTTTGAGGAAGAAGAAGTAGTATTTTTATTTATTTTTTATTTTTTTAGACTTTAGAAACTCGGTGGGGTGGCCGATGTCCGATATTCAGTCCGATAGGGGGCCGATTATATCGTGCAAACCGTTATTACCAGGTTACTCATATTCTATTCGCAGACAGCAATAAAATATGTTATATAACAGAAAAGCAAACCTAGAATACAGAAAGACGGTCTTCTAAAATAAACTCTTATTTATATGTAACTTGAGTTCAGTTTTATAATGCTTTACATACCTGATCATGAGTTCCAAATTACTTTGTAAGCCTTTCACTGGAAAAAATCTACATCTAGATAATTAATTTTTTCTTAAAATAAATGCATTTGTCCTTGAATTGAGACATTTTTCCAGTGGAACAATTTGCATTTAAAATAAGAAAACACAATTGCATCGCTTTATTTCAAGTGCATTTTATCTAAATATCTTATTTTAAGAGTAAAATACTCATTCCATTGGCAAACTATCTAATTTACCTAGGCAAATTAAGGGTAAATACACTTAATTTAAGACATTTTTACTTATTTCTAGATCGTTTTTCTAGTGTTGGTAAATGGCGAAAAATAATAACGGTAATTTTCCACCAAAAGGTCACATACAACTTTTATAATTACATGCAGATTATTATTTTTTTATTATTTACCTTCATTTTGGGGTCATTCTTGTAACCAAGTAGTATATTGTGACTTGCAGTGTTATTACCATGTTATTAAATGGTTATTAATGTAAAAGAAAGCTACCAAAGTGGCTCCAGGAATCTCATTCTAAGTGTTTCTGTGCTTTGGCAGAATAAATATTTTTTTTAAATGAGCACAATCTCAAAGTTTGGCTTAGTGCTGTTAAAAGCAATTTGGTCGATTTAAAACTCTTTTTTTTTTTTCCCCTTTATTTTTTAAAAAGCTCTGTTAGTTTAAGGCACTGTCTGTGTTTTAACCCCCCAGACGAGAAAAGAGCAGAAACACAGAAGAAAAAAAACATATAATTAAAGGAAAGGATAGAAACATCTGGCTCAGAGACGAAGCTTTAAAATGTACAAACAAGCAGCTGTTTTTCACTGAATCGACTCGACTTTCAGGCTGTTAGTAGGTTGATGACGTCACTGTTGTGCGTTTTTTTTTATATCCTACCCTGTCTGTCTGCAAAGCAAAGCCGCCCTCTGTGGGACACTTGAAATGGACCTAATGGAGGCGGATAAAAACAGCAATAAAAACAGTGACATATCCGATTCCTCTCAGCGTTCGGATCAGGAAGCAAACAGAGCGGAACGTTTTGTGCGCTGGAGGCGACAGCGGGAAGAAAAAAAACAAAAAAAAAAACGGCTGCTTCAGTGTTCTGGTCTTTTGTTAAACTTTCACTGTAGGTGTAAATAATGGATGCAGGGACGTACGGCGCAATACCGCCCATGGCCTCTAGGATTGGAGGTTCTCTCCAAATCAGGAGGCAGTTATCAGTTCTGGATCCAATTAAGGCAACTGCTGCCCCCTGGTGGAGAACCCAGACCAACACGCCTGGTTTTTTTTTTTAGACTTGCAGTGATTTATGGATCTTCCATCACTTCCAACGAGACCGAACGCCTCACGGCCGTTCCTAAGTGTTTCAAATAAAAGTTTTAATGCTTTATCTTTCTCTACGTGTCTCTAGACGCGCGCCAACAGCTCAGCCCAGTGCTTCCATTCATTTCCATCGTGTTTCTTTAAGGCTTTTCTGCAGGTCGTTAGAGAGTCTGGTTATTAAATGATGGGAATACAGTTCTTTCTGTTACATGTGAACAACTTTAGGATACAAACATGTAAAATAAATCTAAACCTTATTTTTAATGGGGGTTTTAAAGACTCCCTGTTTAACTAGATATTACTATAAAATAGACGATTATCCAGCTTAAAAATTCTATAAAATTGCTTGAAAAGCTCCTATCTGATGGACATTGGAGGAGAATAATATGTCATTATTTATTAGACCGTATCACTTGCATTTTCTTCTCAGATGAATCGTCTGTAGGTCTGGACTTCTTCACCTTGAGCAAACCTGAACTTTAGCTGTTCTTCAGTCTAATCCGCTCTAGTCCACCCCAGTCTGTAAAGGTTTTCCTCAGCGGCTGCCTAGTCACATGAGTTTCAGTCCGGTTTTCCAGGCGGCTCGCTCCTATTTGTTCTCCGTGAGGCACAGCTTCCCGTTGGACAGCGAGGTGAAGCAGAATCCTCCGTTGGCAAAGGCGGGATGGTTTTCCATCTGTGGAGACGTCAGACACAGATTAGAGGCTCAAAGCCATCTGATGAGTCATTTCATGGGGCGTAGCGGCAAAAAATCTTATCTAAATAAGTTATTTTTTCTTGAACCTAGCAGGTAAGTGAGACATTTTGCTAATAAAACAATTTAGTTAAAATAAGAAAAAAACAATTGAATTATTTCCAGTACATATTCTCTAATTACTTTATTATAACAATAAACATACTTGTTCCACCGGCATCTTATTCACCTACTCTTATTTACGAGTAAATACACTTAAAAAAATTATTTATTTTTTATTTCTAGATCATTTTTGGAGTGTAAATACTAAAAAACAAAGCAGACAAAAATTGTACTGCTTACAGAAGAGGATTAGGGCCACTGAAAAAAAAAAGTTAACTGATTTTTAAATTTTATTTTACTTAAAGTGAGAATTCTGAGAAAAAAGTCAGAATTCTGAGATTAAAGTGAGAATTCTGAGAAAAAAGTCAAAAATCTGGGATTAAAGTCAGAATTCTGAGAAAAAAAAGATCTTTGACTTTAATCTCAGAATTCTGACTTTTTTTCTCAGAATTCTGACTTTAATCTCAGAATTCTGACTTTTTTTTCTCAGAATTCTGACTTTAATCTCAGAATTCTGACTTTTTTTTCTCAGAATTCTGACTTTAATCTCAGAATTCTGACTTTTTTTTCCTCAGAATTCTGACTTTAATCTCAGAATTCTGACTTTTTTCTCAGAATTCTGACTTTTTTCTCAGAATCTTTGTTCTCAGATTGGATCTTAATGTATATGGTCACCATGAAGGCAGAGATGTGGAGCACTCAGCTTCACTGACAAAGATGTGAGTTGTTTGAGAGGGCCAGTGACACATTGGTGGAAAATGACGGAATTAGGCAACTTTTTACGTGCCTGAGGGGTCCCCTCATTAATGGAGGAGCAGAAGGTCATTAAAACAAGAGAGCTAGTCTCTAAAACAGACATGGCTATGGCTTGATGCTAACATGTTAGTTAGCTGTCAGAATTCTGAGAAAAAAGTATTTCTCAGAATTCTCACTTTTTTCCCATATTAAACTAAAATACAATTTAAAAATCAGTTAACTTTTTTTTTCCAGTGGCCCTAATCCTCTTCCATAACTGCTGCATATTGTTACTATATCATTATTGTTAGAATCACCAAAGATTAATAAAACAGGTTTTCTGACTTCCTTTAAAATATCCCCAGCAAGCTTTGTACCATTAATATCACATCTCATCCTAATCCTGTAAAAAAGCTTTTCTAGGAGGATCGCCCCATGTTGACCACTAGGGGGTGCTGTAGTAAAACACATTTTAACAGATTTTGCAAACCAATAACAAACTGGGTTGTGTTATTTTATCAATGGTGTCAAAAGTACACACATTTGTTACTCAGTAGAAGTAGAAGTATAGATACTGCAGTTTAAAAACACTCTGGTAAAAGTTGAAGTATCAACTTGACCTTTTTACTCAAGTAAAAGTGAAAAAGTATGTGCCTAAAAAACTACTGAAAGTATAAAAGTATAAAGTAACCTTTAAAGCCTGTGTCCGACCTTTCAGACATTTCAACATCTTTTTCTGAATCCCACATTGTAGCATGGCATAGACAATTCATGTTTGCAGTTTGAAGAACATCTGCTTGCTTCTGATGATTTCTTTAGCTAACCAATGAGTGTTTGCGTTCTATGACTCATCCAATCACACTAGTTTTCACTAGATGTGGACGTTAACGTTTGTTTTAAAAATGTAAGGAATAGAAAGTCCAGATACTTGTGTGAAAATGTAATGAGTAGAAGAAGTAGGAAGAAAAATAAGTAATGAGTAAAGTTTAGAAACCTAAAAATTGTACTTAAGTACAGTAACCAAGTATTTGTACTTTGTTACTTGACACCTGTTTCAGCAGAGCGTAAAAATGATCAAAATTGAACTAATATGAATATTAGGGTAAAAATAAACGAGCTGAACTTTAAAGGAAACAATAATAATGTCCAACCTGTGTGTTTTCAGTGAAGTGCAGGAAGGGTTGCTGCATCATCAGACCATTGGTCTTAACCCCCGCAGCCATTTGGTAAGACATCACCGCCTCTTCCGGAGTCGGGGGAACCGCCACAGGGCCGCCTTGAGGAAGAGCCTGGTAGTAGCAGGACGTCTTGGCGGGGATCTGGAAGGCGTCCGTCGCCGTCTGACCGGGATGGATTCCATTAGGGAGATTGGGAGCAGCGGCTTTCCGGAACATGCAGTCCAGTTGTTCAGGAAACTGAAGCGTCTCTGGAGTTCTGAACGCGTTCTGGATGGTGGGACTCGTTTGAAATCCTGATATTTGATTGACAGAGAGGCCTGACCGCTGCTGCTGGCCGTTCAGCGCCCGCAGAGTGTACCGGCTGGAGGAGGGATCTGCGGAAAGACTGGGTTTGGTTGAAACTTCTGGGGCGTACGGCTCCATAAAGTTCCGATGCGTGTTGGCGCCGTTGCACTGGTTTCCCATGAAGAGAAACATTGGGTTTAGGGTTCCTCCTGCGTTTGGGTCGGGGACGGGCCCTCCCAGCTGCGCTGGGGTTTGGTTAGCGTTGAGCTGACTAGCTAAGTCTGTGGGACTGGTTTTGAAAACACTCTGCTGACTGTGGGTTTGGCGACATGAAGGGTTGAACATCTGGTTTGTGGAGCTGCTCAGCTTGAGGGAAGATGGAAGCTGTGGCTGCAGGACGTTTCCTCCAGGAGAACTCATGGGAGGAAAGTCCAGGTGGCTCAGCTTCATGGTTCCAGAGAGAGGAGGCGGCTGTTCCACCAGCACCTCCCCTCCGTTGGGAGTCAGCTGGTTCTGGGCCAGAAAGGGCCAGCTGAGGTCGGGGTTCTGGAGCTCGGCAGCAGAGGGTTTGTCCAGCTGACCTGGAAACATCAACCCCCCCTCCTTCTGGAGCTGCTCTGCCACGTAGGAGAGGATGTCGCTGCGCAGGATGTCATTCAGGTCCTCTTTGAACACCTCGTTGTTGGTGGTGAAGTTGATCAGAGAGTTCTCCCAGCTCTGCAGCTCCTCCGGCCCCACGTCCACCGCCCCGATGACGTCAGCATCCCCAAAGATCTGCTCCAGGGTCTCCACCATGTCCTGAACGGTGGGGTCTAACTTCAACAGCGGATCCTCCACAGGAGGCTTGGGTTTGACCTCTCTGGGCGTGGCGTGGGTGTCCTGGAAGGCCACGTCGCTCAGCTGGTTGATGCTGTTGGGTTTTTCATGCTGGCAGTAAATAGAATGATCCTGGTTCATCAAGCAGCCCAGTAAGGAGTGAGAGTTACTGGATTCATCATCAAGCTTCCGCTGCTTGGGAGCGGAGCAGAGGTCTGAAACCTCGAGGCTGAGAGGCAGTTCGTAGAGCTGAGCCTCTCCGGTGGCAAAGTTGAACGGCATCTGTAGCTGGCGGAGGCGGAGCTGCTCCTCTCCTTCCACATTCCTGCAGAGCAAACAGAGCTGTTTAAAAAGCAGCTGGTCATTGGTTCAGAACGCCATCAGCTCAACCAGACAGACTCACGTCAAAGCTCTCTGTCGGGCCACAATGAATTCTGGTCTCCCATCCTTATAGACCAGCCGGGCGTTGGACTGGACCCACACCCACCGCCGATCTTTGGCCAGCAGTCTGAAGAAGCAGAAACCAGTTTCTCCAGTTCTCAGCACTGGGGAAGACAAGGAGGATTCATCTTTCAGCTCCAAAGAACAGTCACCACCTCTTTATTTCTCTGTTTTTATAGAGAAGCACACAAAGTAGCGCCATCGCAGATCCCTCCTCCCAGCAGCTACAACCAGTGCTGCTGTTTGCACTGGTTTCCACCAACCATCCTGCTTCTTTCTCTGAGGTACGGAGAGCGATGAAAGTCTTGATGATTTAAATTACCCGACTGAGCTGCAAATTTCATTTCATCTAATTACACCACTTTGGCAAAAAAAAAAAAACACATTATTTCCATGAGAGATGTGAGACTCTCCATTATTTAACAGTATTCTGGTTTTTAATTCTAGATTTTCTGACTGTTTTCCTGTTTGCTGCTATTTATAAACTTGCTTTGATGCACCTAAATTTTCAGGAAAGATCAATCTATTCTATTCTATTCCCTTCTATTCTATTCCATTCTATTATGTTCCAATCTATTTTATTCTATTCTATTTTTTTCCATTCTATCAAACTCTATTGTTTTCCATTCTATTCTATTTTTTTCCATTCTATCCAACTCTATTGTTTTCCAATACATTCTATTCTATTCCATTCTATTCTTTTCCATTCTATCCAATTCTATTGTTTTCCATTCTATTCTATTCCATTCTATTCTATTTCATTCTATTCTATCCCATTACATTCTATTCTATTCCATTGTATTCTATTTCATTCTATTCTATCCCATTACATTCTATTCTATTCTATTCTATTCTATTCTATTCTATTCTATTCTATTCTATTCTATTCTATCCCATTACATTCTATTTTATTTTATTCCTATCTATTCTATTTTTTTCCATTCTATCCAATTCTATTGTTTTCCATTCTATTCTATTCTATTCCATTCTATTCTATTTCATTCTATTCTATCGCATTACATTCTATTTTATTCCAATCTATTCTATTTTTTTCCATTCTATCCAACTCTATTGTTTTCCATTACATTCTATTCTATTCTATCCCATTACATTCTATTTTATTCCATTCCATTCTATTCTTTTCCATTCTATCCAATTCTATTGTTTTCCATTCTATTCTATTCCATTCTATTCTATTTCATTCTATTCTATCCCATTACATTCTATCCCATTACATTCTATTTTATTCCTATCTATTCTATTTTTTTCCATTCTATCCAATTCTATTGTTTTCCATTCTATTCTATTGTTTTCCATTCTATTCTATTTCATTCTATTTTATTCCAATCTATTCTATTTTTTTCCATTCTATCCAATTCTATTGTTTTCCATTCTATTCTATTCTATTCCATTCTATTCTATTTCATTCTATTCTATCCCATTACATTCTATTCTATTCCATTGTATTCTATTTCATTCTATTCTATCCCATTACATTCTATTCTATTCTATTCCATTCTATTCCATTTCATTCTATTTTATTCCAATCTATTCTATTTTATTCCAATCTATTCTATTTTTTTCCATTCTATCCAATTCTATTGTTTTTGCATTCTATTCTATTCCATTCTATTCTATTCTATCCCATTACATTCTATTTTATTCCATTCCATTCTATTCTTTTCCATTCTATCCAATTCTATTGTTTTCCATTCTATTCTATTCTATTCCATTCTATTCTATTTCATTCTATTCTATCCCATTACATTCTATCCCATTACATTCTATTTTATTCCTATCTATTCTATTTTTTTCCATTCTATCCAATTCTATTGTTTTCCATTCTATTCTATTCTATTCCATTCTATTCTATTTCATTCTATTTTATTCCAATCTATTCTATTTTATTCCAATCTATTCTATTTTTTTCCATTCTATCCAATTCTATTGTTTTCCATTCTATTCTATTCTATTCTATTTCATTCTATTCTATCCCATTACATTCTATTTTATTCCAATCTATTCTATTTTTTTCCATTCTATCCAATTCCATTGTTTTCCATTCTATTCTATTCTATTCTATTCTGTTCTTTTCCATTCCATTTTATTCCATTCCATTCATCATTTATGTTAAAACTAACTATCTAACAGGATGTATAACTATTAGTTTGAATCACGATGCATAATTTTCTATATTAGTTAATATCTAATAATAGATACCAATAGTTTTATTTATATCATTAGATATTATTGTTCTTTATGTCTAGTTCCAAAAAAAAGTTAAAAACAAACCACTGGACTTTGTTTTCCAAGACTGAAGATGTTTTGCTTCCCATCAGGAAAGATTTCTCACTTCAACCATTTGAGTTCCAGGCTTTATAGAGTCGCCCAACAAAAGCCTTGTTATGGCTTAGAAATCATGCAAACATCTGGTTACATCTGGTTAAAAGTCCTCTAAATTATTATTGACATATCTGAGGACATCTGAATGATTTGCAGGATATTGTCCCTGCAGAGGAACATCTGGACTTTAACTTTCCTTCGAGGACAGTTGACTAACAGAGGATCTGTTACTGGATGAGGAAGGGACGATATGCAATGAATGAGTAGGTAAGAATAGAGGGAGGTACTTCTCAAGTGCTTGTCGGCGCAGTACATCATGTCAGCAGCGTGGAGGAAGCTGTAGCCGGACCCTTTCATGCTGATCTCCACCTCGTTGTAACCCAGAATGATCTTTCCTCTGTGGACACAAACGCACCTCAGATCAACATCAGATGTTTTCTACAAACCCAATCAGAAGCAGATTTTGCTCATTCTCCGAAGCGTTCCCCCAGCAGAGACTCGTACCTGCCGTCGATGCCGATGGGCGTGAAGTCCAGCTTGTGTTTGGTCTGGAAGATCAGCGTCTTGGTGCGGATCTCCAGGATGGACGGCTGCTGCAGCGGAGTGGCGATGGCGAACAGAGCCAGCTGCGGGGGGACCAGCGCGCCGTTCTCCGACACCCGGTTCTGACCGTGGAGGAACTTCAGGCGGCCGCGGAAGTTCAGGGCCTGAAGATGAACGGAAAGAGCTCAGACTGACCGACGTTTTCCGCTGTTGCTCCAACAAAAAAAAGGGGAGGAAAGCGTTTGAGTTACCAGGAATCCAGAGGAGTTATCGAGGAGGCAGCGGAAACGGCAGCAGAAGTTTCTCTCCAGGAAAGAAGAGTTTTCAGGAGGGATGGTCTGCAGATCGTAGGCCACCACGTTGGTGCTGATCTCAGCGCTGTTCTGCTCATCTAGAGGAAACATCAGAGTCAGGATGATCCAAACAAACACTAGATCCACTGTTTAGTCCTTAGGAAAACCAGACATCCTCTCTAAAGCATCTTGACTGTTGGAAACAAGCTGATAAAGATGAAATGGAATCTATAGAAATCAGCTGCTGCATAATAAGTAGAGTTCAAAATGAAAAGGGAAAGAAACACAGATGGAGAAGCAGCCGTCTGCAACGCATGAACTAAACAAATACAAATAAAACTGACATACGACATGCAGATTAAACTATCAACATGATTATAAACATTAAACACAGAAAACAAGCAAATTAAAAGCCAAGCCAACACAGAAAAAAACAAGTCTGGTTAGATGTGCAGAGAGAAAACAGAAAAACAGAAAAAAACCCAGATCATTTAAAATAAACACAAAACAGATGCAAAAACGAAACAAAAACACAAGAGTAGAAAAGCTTCAAACAAAAAGTGTGTAGAAATTCAAAGTCCCAAAGAAAACAAGAGGAGGTTTGCAGCTCAGAGTCAACAGACTTACTGGGATTCTCCGCGCCGTCCACATTGGGGTTGAAGGAGAAGTGAAGCTGGCGTCTGAATAGAGCGCGGTCGTCTGCGTGGATCAGCTCAAACACGCTCTGATGGACCACGTCCGACTGAAATGAAACCACAGAATTCCTCTCATTTCTTTCTCTAATTTTTTAAAAAGACTTGTTGAAAAGTCACATGTTTATTTCTATTCCTCTCCAAAGGTTTCTGTGGAAGTGTGGCGCCCCCTGGCGTTGAAAGGCCGCCTGTTAAACATCAGAAAGGAGGTTCTCCGGCGTTTTCCTCTCCTCTCCCTCGCAGCGTTTCTCCTCAGCAGACCTCAGACCGGCTCTATAAAATGCCAGAGACTAATCACCGCAGCAGCTGCTCCGCTTTAGCAGCTGCTGCAGACTTCCTGCATCAGCGAGCAGCCAGAAAACTCTGTGTTGTTCTGCGAGTGTGTGTCCCCCTCCCGGGAAACGCTCCCCCCACCCCCCAGCTTACAGACACATTTAACCCTGGTTCAAACGGATGTATTAGTGAGTCAAGAGTTCAGAGCCGACAGAGATGTAGAGTTCTCACGCACTCATACGTGATTCAAGGCAAGGCGGTTCGTTTGTGTAACACGTTTAAGGAGCGAGTCAAATCAAAGGGCTTTATATGATGAAAACAGACGAACACGGCAGCAGGAAGATGAAGGAGGACAACAAACTGAAGCTAACCATGTTTCACTTTAAACAATCAAAGGTGGTTGATATGCTGACATTTATACATTTAGGAAAGAAGCCAGCGATTTATAGATGAAAAGAAGTATATTAAATTCTTATCTTTGAGCGGATCTCGTGTGCTCTACTTTCTTAGTTTTAGTGAGGACGCTGGCAACAGCATTCTGGATCAGCCGCAGCTTTCTGATCCACTTTTTAGAAAAATGAACACATGAATTCTTTTTTCAAGGTCCTGCTGACACTCCAGTCCTTGAATCCTGGAAATGTTCTTCAGGCTGACTTTGCTCCTGACTTTGTGAAGGTTCAGCTCTTAGTCCAGCACTACACCCAGATTTAACCCTTTAAAGCCCGATCCAAGAATAAAATAAAACAGAAAATTACCTTTTTTTGGTTTGAAGTCATTATTTGCCCTTTTAACAAAATATGTAAAAAGAAAAAACAGAAATACATTTTTGATATTAAAGGAATAGTACACCCAAAACATGATTAGCCTTCATTTTCTACTCACCCCCATGCTGAACAACACTCTGGAGTACTTTGTTGATATCTCAAATGCATCTGGAGATCTGGGAGGCTTCTTGCTGTCTGCTGACATTCAAATAATGGAGGTCTATGGCGCCCGAGGAAGAAAGGTCCATAAAAGTCCACAAAAAACGTGTCAATATTCCTCCATACTGCTCGTCCAATGTATTCCAAGTGTCCTGAGTGGGTAGCGTCCAGAATTTACTCGAAACAAAGTCATTTAGAATGTTTTTAGAGCATAAACAGTAGTGTATAGGATTTCCTGAAAGCACGTTCACGACGCTACGGAAGCCGGCAGACCAAACCGGACGAAAGTGCGCATTCAGCTCAGCAAAGAACTCATGCTCTTCCTCAACACTGAAGTCCTCAGACATTTTTCTTTCGTTGTTTCTTTCTTTGCACAGGTAAACAGCACATTTCTTCTTCTACGCTTGCTCTATCAAGAGCAGACGCTGAATGCGCACTTTCATCTGGTTGGTCTGCCGGCTTCCGTAGCGTCTTGAACTCGCAGGCGCGCGCTTTCAGGAAATCCTATGCACTACTGTTTATGCTCTAAAAACATTCTAAATGACTTCGTTTCGAGTAAATTATGGACGCTACCCACTCAGGACACTTGGAATACATTGGACGAGCAGTATGGAGGAATATTGACACGTTTTTTGTGGACTTTTATGGACCTTTCTGTCTCGGGTGCTGGGGACCTCCATTATTTGAATGTCAGCAGACAGCAAGAACCCTCCCAGATCTCCAGATGCATTTGAGATATCAAAAAAGTACTCCAGAGTGTTGTTCAGCATGGGGGTGAGTAGAAAATGAAGGCTAATCATGATTTGGGTGTACTATTCCTTTAATAATTTATTACTATGCGATAAGTCAAGATTATTTTTTGTGTAGTCTTCTACTGGCTGTTATCAGGTATATCTGATTGTGTACAATAAGATTTTGAGCAAAGTTTTTACCATTAAATTATGCAAAAGGTGTCGGATGCAAAACATTTCAGAAACCGTATGTATCAAATATGATACATTTGGCATTACAGGGTTAAGGCCCGATTGCTGCTTCCTAGCTGGTTTAAATAGAGCTGTATGCTAACATCTGAACCCTTGTTTGGTCCAGAAATACTTTTGTTTTATTTGGATTCAGCTGAAGAATATGTTCCTTATGCAGAGCTGGAATGGGTTCATAGACACATCATGATATGTTAATATAGAGCAGTGAGTCGTCTGCATAGTAACAGTAACATATGTTTATTCTGCTGTAAGCAAGGGGAGGATGTACATATTGAATGGAAAAGGCCCTTAGATGGAGCCTTGGGGAACGCCACTAGTATGCACATATTTAATGATTCAAACATACTGGCTGCAGCCATTGCAAATAACAGTTTGTTTCTTTTTTGTTTCAGAAACATTGAAAAACATCCATACCACCTACATGTTTACTTCAGCATCTCTCCTGTAGCAGACTCCTGCATCAGTCGGCTCCATGTGACCCGCTGGTCACAGAAGCAGTGACTTTCAGATCAGTGAGTCATACCGGTGCATCAGCTGATTTCCGATATTTAGTTTAAAACCCAACATCAACCACAAGGTCAAAACCACACACTGTATAAATGATGATTTTGTTTCCTATAGAGCAGATAATCATCAACAAGTAAAGGTCCGGAGACATTTTTACTTAGAATCTGTCACTTTAAACAGAATTTAACACTGAAGTAGAAAGCAGGTTTTTATCCATCAATGTTATACTTTGAATTTTTATGTATAAAAATATGGAAAAATAGAGCATTTTTCCATTTAAAATCTAAAGTGTTTTTTGAAGTAGAGAACAATCGTTCAGTTTTGTATAATGACAATTCCCTGATTCTCATATTTTATAAAACACCTGAACTGACCTTTTTTTCCCTTTTTTCTGTCTTAATGTTGGCAGTGGGCTTTAGGCTGCCCTGCTAGGCTTTAAACCCGGGTTTAATGGAGACTAAGCAATTCTTAAGCACATATCAAGGTGCTCATTTTGAGCCTGGATAGATGTTTTTCTTATTATCTTCATGATGGAGAATCCTGCTTCACAGCAGCAGGTTGAACCAAACATCCTCTAAATGTCCAGGGTCATCTTTGAGCACCATTTCACTTTTCTTTCACCAGTTCACCGCAGTTCTTCCAGCAGTCCACACTTTCTCTGCTCTCTTTCTCATCTTCTTCTCCTTTCCCATCGCCCAACTAGACTAGTGTCTAAAAGTAGCAGCAGCAGCAACCCAGACTGACAGCAGCTCATTGGCTGATGTGTATCACGTGCAGCCTGGTCCCGGCGAACCGGAGGGCTTTAAAACGATCTAGAAATAAGTAAAAATATCTTGAATTAAGTGTATTTACCCTTAATTTGAGTAGGTAAATTTGATAGTTTGCCAATGGAATGAGTATTGTACACTTAAAATAAGATATTTAGATAAAACGCACTTGAAATAAAGCGATGCAATTGTGTTTCCTATTGTAAATGCAAATTGTCTTGTTCCTCTTTTACCTTCTCAATTCAAGGACAAATGCACTTATTTTAAGAAAAAATTAATTATCTAGATATAGATTTTTTCCAGTGCGTATTAACAGGAGAAGCGGCGCAAGTGAAGTTAGACACTGAACGTCGGACAATATGCGGTAATTTATAAATGTTTTAAATCAGGTTGGGTCCGGATCTGGACCGCAGTCCACTAATCGGTGACCTATAGAGATTCACCATGAAGTCCAGGCAGGTGTCACACAGGTGACAAACTCTAAAGGGATTTTACAGACTCCTCTTATCTTATGTTTGAAGAAAGAGGAGAGAAAACCAACTCTGGAGGTGAACAGAAAAGACTTTAAAGTCAGACGTAGTTTCAATCATTCAAACCTGAGACGTGCGGAACAGAAACCACAGAGAAACACAGCAGTGTGTGAGTCGGTACTTGGCTTCAGCCTAGTTAAAGATCAAGGAGGTTTCTTAGAGCCTCAAAGCAGAAAACCTCGACCAAATCTGGTGACGTCTGCTTTAAGCTTCATGTGGGCGGAAAGATTACCTAAAAATGCGTCCAAATCTCACATAATGTCCTTTCAGTGGTAAGTCAGGCAGGGACCCTGTGCGCTGAGCTGAAGGGATGCTAATGAAATCTGCACATTTTGATGGTTTTATGCTAACTTCTGTGCTTATTGTGGACAGTTTTGCTTTATTTTGCTTCTACTTTATGCAAACAATAAAAAAAGACAATAGATGACAAAGTGTGTGTAATCTAACCAAACATGATTTGGAAAGTATCCCTCAGGGCCTCCCGGGGAGGAGATCATGGGAATGGTGACACATCCGACTTCTTCTCATTAATTAAATGGGTGAGGTCTGTTTATCGTTTTACCTGGTGGAAGCCGAGGAAGTCCTGGATGGTTGGGGACGCGTAGAAGACGTAACCTTCGGCCGTCACCACCAGCACGAAGCCGTTCAGCGCCTGCAGAGAGAAGACAGAGCCTTGATGCTTCCGTTCTCCTCCAATCGGTTCCGTTCCTCTGAATCAAAACCAAACCTGAAGCAGCAGGTCTCCCTCGGAGAAGCTGACTCCATCGATGGAGGTCGCCACGGTGGAGAAGGAGGTGGAGTGCGAGTTAGTCTGAGCGCTGGGGTTGTTTCCTCCCAACATCAGGTCCCTGTCGCCGGTCCAGCTCGTTCCGTTCGGGCTGGCTTTCACGACGGCTGCAGGAGAAGAATAACAAAAAAAAGGATGAGAAAAACCGAACATTTCTGACATTTAATCACCGGAACTTTCACATGATGAAGCACCGACTCTGAAACAGGAAGAGCATTTATCTGTCTGTGTTTGTATCAGGGTGGAGCAGCGTGACGTTTCCTCCATCTCTTCCTCTTCTTATCACTTTGACAGAACCACTCAATAACAGTCACTGAGAGCACCTTAGAATATCCTCTGACATGAAGCAGATGTTCTGACCGGCTTAGATCGACCACCAGCCGCCTGTTCACTCATAATTCTGATCATTCGAGAGAAAACAATGACATTAGAAAAGAAGGGAAGCTCTCTGCAGAAAGTACTCTGGCTTTGAAATCCAACCCTCGTCCTCGCTAGAGGCCAAACGAGGATAACAGGCGGAGCCACAAAATTACCCGCTGGACTGTGATCTGAAAGCACAGGGTTAGGGGACGCCTGGGGGGGAGAACGGCTTCGTGTGAAGTGGCGGACGGAGACACTCGATCGATCGAGAGGCAGATCGCCGCCGATGGAAACCGTCCCTGAAAGACTGAAATGTGTAATTTAGAAGTTTCTGGATGGAAAGCCACAGATTATAACTGCTTTAAAAAGCAACACGGACCGGTCCTACAAAACCAGAACATCCGTACAGAGATTATATTTGACATGCTCCAACTGTGAAGCAGGAAATGCATCACACCGAAGCTTTAAAACTCCAAAGGAATGTCAGGTTTTCACCACGTTAGACGGGTTCCAAATGACCCAGAAGCTCAGCTCCATAACTCAGCCACGTGGAAACACGTCTTATTTGCGTCCCTGTTTTTTTGACATTTAAATAGTTTGTGAGAAATTGAGGAAAATTGGACAGAAACATCTAACGTGGTTCCTCTGCTTTCAGAGTTACAGTTTCAATAAAATGACCTAATGCCCAATGCAAAGCAGGTGAACCCAGGAGACAATACATGTTGGGTTCAATCAAAAGTTAGAAAAATATTTCTAGTTTCACGCAGTGACTCTGCTTGAAGGTTAATCTCTGGCCTGTTTTCCTGTCTGTTTCTGAGGTGAAAAGACTGGAGCTAAGGCCAAACCCATGCTGCCGAGAAAGGCGGGGAATCCCGATGGCAAACAGTGATTCAGCTCTGAGGGTTTTGGTTCTTACATGACTCAGCAGCTTGGCCTTAAAAGGGACAAATAAGAGGTAGAAGATCATTTGATCCGTAGGATCCGGTACCAGATCTGCTCGGTTGGTCGGATCTGGTCGGCCATCTGTAGCCCTGATGTCTTTAAAACAACGTGGTTGCCCGGAAAATGATGATAACATAATGCAGCGTCCGTGTGCCGAGTCGAGAGCATCTGCATTTCTAATCACCAATGAAGTTTTACCAGATAAATAACAAAGCTTAAAGGAATAGTACACCCAAAACATGATTAGCCTTCATTTTCTACTCACCCCCATGCAGACCAAACCAGATGAAAGTGCGCATTCAGCTCGGCAAAGAACTCATGCTCTTCCTCAACACTGAAGTCCTCAGACATTTTTCTTTCGTTGTTTCTTTCTTTGCACAGGTAAACAGCACATTTCTTCTTCTACGCTTGCATTATCGGCAGAGCAGACGCTCAATGCGCACTTTCTTCCGGTTTGGTCTGCCGGCTTCCGTAGAATCGTGAGCGCGCATGGGGGCGCTATTAGGAAATCCTATACACTACTGTTTAGGCTCTAAAACGTTCTAAATGACTTCGTTTCGAGTAAATTCTGGATGCTATCCACTCAGGACACTTGGATTACATTGGACGAGCAGTATGGAGGAATATTGACACGTTTTTGTGGACTTTTATGGACCTTTCTGTCTCGGGCACCATAGACCTCCATTATTTGAATGTCAGCAGACAGCAAGAAGCCTCCCAGATCTCCAGATGCATTTGAGATATCAAAAAAGTACTCCAGAGTTTTGTTCAGCATGGGGGTGAGTAGAAAATGAAGGCTAATCATGTTTTGGGTGTACTATTCCTTTAAAAACTATGCTTATAGTGAACAAAGTAACCGCAAGACCGTGGTATAAAGGGGGAGAGCTAGGCAGGGTTGTTGCCAGCTGTGCTCAGTAGCTAACAGGTTAGCATCTTTTAGCTTGGACAGTTACCCATATTAAGCTACACTTCTTTTAACGTCTCATCAACAAGAAGAACTCTCGTTTTCTTTTTCTAAAATCTCCACAAAAGTCATTTTTTTTTTATGATTTTCCAATTGTCTTCCCCTGCCTCAGATCTTAGTTATATCAGGACTCCTGTTTTGTGTCTCTGTTTTCTGTGTTTGTCTCCCTTCATCCACCAGGAGGCGCCTGGTTAAGGTCCGCCTCCTCACACACCTGCAGATGGTTTCCTCGTTAACGGAGTGTTCTTAAGCTGCTGATTGCCACTACTTCGACGCCAGAGTGTTTGCCAGTTTAGGGTACTCTAGTCAAGCTGAGTTTGCTGAGTCAAGCTGAGTTTTTTTTTGTAAACCTGAGTTTAACTTTGTTTTGTCTTTGCCTCTTGGCAGGAAGTCGTCCTGCAACTGGATCTCTCGGACCTTCTCTCCCTGGAAGGATCAACTGAGCTTCAAACTGAGCTGGGGTTCAAACAGGAGGTTTGAATCCACTTTCCCCAAGAGATCGTTTGAGCTTCACACTGAGAAAGGGATTATTCTCCACTACGACACGAAATCTGAGTGGCAGTCAGTATCTCCGTTCTCAAACTATCAACCACATTCTGGGTAAAACCTGTTCCGCCCTCCACTGAATCAGACAAACACTGGAACCACAGCACACAGTCAGGAATCAAGAACACAACAACTTCTCTGGAAACGTGAGTCGGCAACCAAAACCTCTTCTCCAAGTTTCACGAATCAAATTCCCCACTGAGCCTGAACTAACCTCTGTGTCCTTCCCTCACTTTGCAGTTCCGGTTGAGCAGTGTTCAGAGAACCACTTCTCCCTCTGTTTACTTCTTCAATAAAACCCGTTAAACCTTTTACCTGGACTCTCTGTTCGGTTTTCTGCATTTCTTGGTCAGAACTTTGTAACATAATGACAAGTTAAAAGAATAAGAAGAAGCAATGAGACCTTTTGTGTCTCTTTGTTAAATGGCAGAACTCAGTCTACCCTAGACTGCTGTACTTTCCTTCAAGAGTGATTGTTTTCTACTTTCGGCTATTTTAAAATGGCCAAAGAAACATAGAATCATAGCAAATATAGGTAATAATGACTAGGGTTGCGCCGATGCCATGTTTTGGCCCCGATACCTGGCTGTGCAATATTGGCTGATACCATCTGTTTGAAATTAATGTGTGTGTTTGTACATATGAAGAACTGCATACTACTTGGATGTAAAATAATTGCCATCATGGCTTTGTCAAGCTGCTGCCTACCTTTATGAAGCAGGAAAAAGACTAATACAAAGTGAATCCAGTAGAACTTCTTATTGCCTACCTGGAATGGGTGACAATAGTTGAATAAACTTATGGCTTTCAAAATGGTATCGGTGCCCTATTTGTTGGTACTCGCCAATACCATCATTTTAGTGCTGGATCGGGGCGCTGTCCGATACTGGTATCGATGCAACACTAATAATAAGTTGAGACTCCTGAAGAGGGTAAGAAAAAGAGCAATAGTTTGACCCAGTGGTTTTTTGCCGTATTATGATGTCATCAGCAGGGGCAGGGCCCCGAGCAGACCTGGTATCTAAACCGGACCTGCAGTGAGAAGTCGTTCCAAAGTCAGCATTGGCACAAATCTCCAAATAGTTGTTCTGTCGAACCCTATAACTCAACCTTGATACTTCTTGTTTGAGTTAAACCAAATTAATATTTTTTCTTTAAATACAGTGATTAAATCATTTGGAAGGAGAAGTCTGGATTTCCCTCTGCTTCCAGTCTGTAAACCAAGCTGGGCTGCATCTATGGACGGTTAAATTACTGGATGAGGACAGAAAACTAAAGTCATTTCCCCACTCTTTCCCGCTGATGGGGTTGACTGCGCAGAAAGAGCACAGGGCTCCAGTAATCCAAGCCAATGTAATATTCGCCTTCTACAAAGGCAGGAACAACAGAACCAGATGGTCCAAAAGAACAGAGGAGGGAAATGTACCAGAATCCCTCAGTAAATCTCCTTGCAGTGTAACGGGGAGTTTCCTGCTGCAGAAGCCAACTTTCAAATTTCATACAAAAGAATCCGCATTTGTGAAACCTGACCGCTTACAAAACTTTCTGATCTAAAAAAAACAACAAAACTTTAGAGAGGGATTCATTTTAAAATTCTGAAACAAAGGAAAATACCAAAGCAGCCACAGGAACCAAGACAGAGACCCATTAGGGACATAAATCCGCCTGTAAGGAGGACAGAATCTGTGACACTCCTTAGGATGATTTACACGGCAGCATGTTTCATTTACTCTGCTTAATGGAGCTGCACATTCCCAGAGCCCAACGCCGTCTTTCATACATGACGAACGGCGGACGACCACCCACAAACACCGGCTCTCACACCCAAACAAGTCAGAACCATAAATGTCTCCCTAACCTAATCATGACGGATTCAAGCACTCAGATTTCCTTTGGAGTGACAACATGCATCGTTCATGTAAAAACCCTTTTCCTTTAATCCCATCCTCCTCTGCTCTGCCTCCACTCTCAGGGAGTTTCCTCTGAAATGTTTTACTGCTCCCATGACACGCTCTGCACGCCATTAAACTCAATTTATGCCAAGACTCAAGAGCAACAATCGATTGGACGCTCTTTCCCTTCAGGCCTTCCGCCTGCAGCAGCAGCATTATACCGCCGCTGCTGAGTACAGGCTTGTTTTATGTGTTGATTTACGCAGGACTGATTGACTCAGATGCAACAGAATCAGGGAGATTTCCAGAGATTTCACAGCTTTAACCAGGGCTGCTGATGAACAGTTACCACTGTCACTTGATGCAACATCAAAACGATTTACATTTGGATGGGTTTTTTTTT